ATGGTGAATCAACACTTTTTTTGTCTAACGTTCGTTAGCGCCATATTTAACGGTTACGTGTCCGTCAAAATTTGTTGATGCAACCCACCCTATATCTGTTTTTGTCAGCTAGTGATTTCATCTGTCGATAGACTTGACGCTTAAGTAATTATGCAATTTTCACAATTTGAATTGGCAGCTGTTGCAATTGCCATCGATGACGAAGTATTAGAAAAACGAAGCGAAAGTACTAAAAGAAGATGGGGTGTACATCCAACCTGGAGAAAGCGAGAAGCAGAAGGGGAATTTTCTTTACTTTACAAAGAATTAATAGACGACGAGAGCAAGTTTTATGGTTATTTTAGAATGTCTAAAGAATGCTTTACTTATTTACTTGAAAAATTAAAACCAGATCTAACCAAAAAAATTACAAGATTTCAAAAGCCTATATCTCCCATCGGATTATTTCGTCCGAAATGGTTTTCCATATAATATTTTTGTATTTGTTATCTAAATACTTAGGATGGCTCATGCCGTAAATCACAGGGTACTTGCGTACACATTCTAATAATTTTTCATCGTCCATTTTGCTGTTGAGCTGCAGACCTCACTAAGATTTTACGTTGACTGCTCTGCGTGTGGCCGGACGCCTACGTTCATGTTACGACGTGTCGGGGCCGGACCGTGCCGGAGCCGGGAAACAATACCCACCGACATTACAACGCCGTGCCCCGGCCGAGTCCCGGCGGCGCACGGTAAGGGCACGGCCGAGCCACGGTTAGGCATGAATTACTTCATACAAAAGTATATCATTAATGTTAGACCGTGCCTCGGCCGGGGCACGGCCCGGTCGAGACACGGTGTAGCGTAAATCATCCTTAAATATACAATTTTGTTTTTATTAATCAGTAGTATAAAACCAGTTTTCACGAAATTAGTTATTAAGTACACAATGATTTGAGAAAATTTTGTATATGAATAATGATTTCATATATTAGTTTATATATTAGTATTTCTAAGTTTTTCTGTTTTCACAAGTACAAAATATACATAAGCATAGTTATTGCACTATATATGTCTATAATATCGATAGTCATATAATTGCCTACAACATAGGACCCAAAGAAATAGAGAACTCCACTCTACTCCACTCCACTATACATATACAGTGTAAACTCTATGTAACGGCGCTCGATTTAACGACAATTCCCCTAAAGCGTTGAAATCACTCGGCTTTAGTTGGTTTAGCTATTCTTTCATACAATGATACACTCTACATAGCATTACACCTACCCTCAATAACGACACTTAAATAATAAAAAGTACTTTCACACTCACTTACAGACCGTGACAGTCGATCGATCTCCTATCTGCATCCCAATAACCAAACCCTACGAAGACAATCCATTTTTGGCGACGGGTAAAATGCTCTTTGTCGTTCCATTTTACCGAGTTTTTACTCATATTTGAGAATCAATGTAAACCAAATAAAGTAAATAGAACCGTACAAATAACATTAAAATATACATGTGTATGTTTAAAACATAACAAACAGTTTTTTTAATTATTTAAAAACGATACGACCTCCCATGGATAGCTTGTAACGACAGATGGTTATTACAATCCGTCGATTGGTTATTGGCACACTTGTTACAACATTCGAATTAAGATTACTAGCTCAGATGGTGGATTATGGATTGAGATAGCTCTTTGGGTTCGGGCGTTAGTCCCTTTCGTAATCTTGTTCTCTTTTCCACACGCGTCAGACTATAACTTATCCTATCATAAATATTATTGTTATTCTCGAAATTGACGTTTTATTTTTAAAATAATTTTCTGTCCCTTTCGCAATTTTATGTATTTTTTTGCGAAGCTAATGATATCACTATTGTATTTTTATACACTGATTACATTGTGTAAATAATTATTTGTGTAATGTTAATGTAAACTCATTTCTATCGATTCGAATCGATTTTAACATATATAATATATATATTTAATGAGTTTTATTTTTTGATATATTATGTGATACCGCCGCCCATTGACACTCAATGGCAGGAAGCTCGCGAGTGCGTTGCCTGCCATTTAATAATTGGTTTGGAGTGAGCAGATTTTTATTGTAATTTTTGTATATTTTAATAACAAATTTGATTAAAAGACAAGTTTTATTAACTTGTTGAGTGCATCGACATATATACATAAATCAAATATATATTATTAACCATATCAACAAATGTTTTTATAGTTATTGTAATTTGTCACTAATGTCTGAGATTTCTTTCATTAAAATTCAATTTCATTCATGACTATAACAGGAAAATATTGTTTAAAAATTAAGAATTAATTATTGATTTGTGGCACGGAACTTGCAATAAAGTGTTGTTTTTTTCGATATTGTTAAAAGCTTTTTAGTTGAATAATACATTTTATGTAAATATAACCTTTAATCGGTGGGCTGAAAAGTTCGTAGGTTGACACATAGATGGCGGTACTTGTATAAATTATATGATTTGTACTTAGCCCTAAAGCTTAGGTTTCCTAGAAAAGCAGTGCCGTTATCTAACGGCCGTCTTTACTTTTTAACATAATGCATAAAAACAATCATTTTTGCTCGTTTTAGTCACGTTTCCACTCATTGTATTAATTAAATATGTATAATTAATAAGCTTAACCTTCAAAAGATACATGTATTTACACTGTATTTTTATGACAACTGTCGTACTATAAGCTTGTGAGATATAGTATATTGAGAGAACTTTTGTTTGTTTAAAAAAATAGTTGTATCGCTCTCGAAGGATTATTGAATAATCAATTCAAATTCTATAAAAAAAAGTGCGTGCGTACAAAGTATGTACACATGTCAGAAGTGAAACTTCTTTGGCAAACTAATTTTTAACTCTTGTTCATATTTTTACAAATCTAAAACTTTAGATTTCCGAGACTTAGAGGGAGGGAAAAAGGAAGATATGTTAGGAATTTTATTGTCATTCAAATATAAGTGTCGAAAATTGATACAAATAATAAATTTAATTTTTTAAATTTATTATTTGTACATATATATTGGGCTCAGTGGCTTTTATTTGTATCTAATTATGTCTATAAGTTTCTAATCGTCACAATTAAACGTTCAAAGATATATAGACTAGGCCGACTTAAATAGTTAAGACATTTTTGTCCTTATGGACATAAACAAATTTGAATCAAAATTACTCAATTATTTTATTGAGAAAAAGCTTACCTTAGCTTTAATTTGTATCAAATTATGTCTATTTGAAAGTTTCTAATCGTAATTAAATGTTCAAAGATATATAAATATAGATCATGGCCGTGTTTAAATTCTGGAGAATGTCCTAGTTTTTACAAAATAAACATTCTACATCAACCTAATTAAAGCGTGTCTCGGATTTATATTTAAATGTTGCATTCCTGTTACATTCCCTGGTGAAAGACGTGTTTTAAGTTTAAAATGTGAGAATTTTTGGATGCATTTTAGTTTTGAGGAACTTAGTTAATAAATTATATAGGTATTTAAAGTAATGAGCAGTGTAGGCCTAATAACTTTAGCGTGCGACTCTCATCCCTGAGGTCATAAGTTCGATCCCCGGCTGTGCACCAATGGACTTTCTATGTGCGTCTTTAACATTAACTCGAACGGTGAAGGAAAACATCGTGAGGAAACCGGCTTGCCTTTGACCCAAAAAGTATACGGTGTGTGTCAGGCACAGGAGGCTGATCACCTACTTGCCTAGATTGACAAATGATCATGTAACAGATACAGACATGAATAGTGTGTTTTCCTGTTTCTATGTAAAATGTCCAGTTTTATATCTTGCCGTTTGTGTCTTGTTTCGACGGAGTCTTAGGGTAAGATTTAAAGTCGAGACCTAGGCAAGTATGACTCTGGTTGATATACTGGTACAGTAGGGTAGGGAAGCCTGGACTTCAAATGTCGTATTCAAATTCAAATACCGATGGCAGCAATTAACATTGATTTTGATCAATGTATCCAGTATTTCGTATATATATAAGTCAAATTATCGAGAGATTCAAATTAACAAGAGTCGACTGTATATGTCTCCGGTATATCAAAAATGTATTGAAGAACATACGAGAGTGATAGTTTGTGCGGAGATCCTAAGACTTATCGATCCATTTCACCTTTGACTTCACAACTTTGCTATGAAAAATTAAAGCTGAAAATAGAAATCGGACTGAATAAATTCTGCAGCCATTCCATTTGATTGAATGATTTGATTCTCCAGTTAGCTATAGATTCTAGATTCCATTCAATATTTAAAACTTGTTAAAGGTACATTAATCAATAAAGCTTTTTATAAATTTTGACGATTATTTAAATGATCCTAATCGTTGGGATTGATTTGCTCCAGTACAAAACAATTTGTATGACTCAAAACTAGGCGATTACAGAGAGTGGCGGAAGGTTTCTTGCCAGTTCTTCTTGCCCTACGCCCTTGACTTGCGAACTGGTAGTAAATGTAAATTTAGAATTAATTTAACATCTTTTCTGTTGACGTTCGTATTAAGTGTACTTGGTTACCTATATGAATAAAGTTATTTTGAGTTTGATTATTCAATATTCGCGCATCAGCTTATTAGTCTGATGGTGTTTTTATATACATAATAATAATATAAAAAAATATTATGTTCTATTTTGTCTATGTAAAAACTTGATATAATCCTAACTGGGGGTTCCATATATTTAAGCTATGCTTTTAAAATTTCTCACAGATTTTTATGTAGCATTCTTAATGTTAAAATTGCTCCAAAAGTTTTGAGGTTTTTCGTTATAAACAATAATATAATAGGCCAAAATAGAAACTTTTACTGTCTCTCAAATACACTTATATTAAATATTGAGATGTGACGTGAGTATTCTGTGACGTAGACAGAGACAGACAGACAAATAAAACATTTTTATGTAACCGCTATCATTGACCAAATCAGGTTATCACAGGCGAAGTAATTACCCCTCTAGAATTTATGATAACGTGGTCTTTCAGATTCACATTGCCAGCCCGAGGTGACGCTGTGGTGGAGCTATGGAGGACGAAAATGGAGGAGGGCGTACTGGCTCCAACACATTTCCAAGATCATTGGCGTATCACAGTACCCAGGATTTATTCGCCGCAACCCAATCGGACATGTCGTGGTTAGTATGTTACGGAATAAAGAGCTTTGCATTATCAATAGAGCATATTTTTGCTTTTCTATAGTAACTCGTTGGCTTAGCACTAGATACACTAGTCAATGGCGCTACAATCTTAGGTTTGTGCCTCTGATTTGTGTATACGTTTCATGATGATTTGTCAATCTAATAGGTATTACGTCACGCAATTTTTGGAGATCCTTGACAAACCCCCCCTCATGTAACGCGCCGTAACGTTTTTTGTGTACCCAATAGTAAAACGTTTCGTGACCACCCAGTGTCTCTTTATATCTAAAAGTTACCATTATGTGGTGTTAAGTACTGGAAAGTCGAAAATATATTAACGACAACGCGTAACGTTTTACAAGAGGGAACCCCCCCCAAATTCGTTCCCTAAGGAAATGATCAGCCTCCTGAGCCTGACACTAGCCGTCGACTTTTTGAGTCTGCCGAGCCGATTTCCTCACGATGTTTTCCTTCACCGTTCGAGCGAATATTAAATGTGCATTTAGAAAGAAAGTCCAAGGATGCACAGCCGGGAATCGAACCTGCGACTTCAGGTGTATGAGAGTCGCACGCTGAAGCCAATAGGCCAATACTGCTTATCTGCGCAGCTAGTACAAAACAAGTAAAATCAGTACAATAAGAATACTTAAATCTAAAGTCTCTTTTGACTAATCACAAATAATTGGTTATTAAATAGAACTGCTTCTAATTGTATTACATTTCATTGATTTTCAGATTCGTCCTTCGATGAGGAGTTAGCGTTGAAGCTTCTAATCCAGCCCTTGGAGCAGTTTGTGTGGGGAACAGCGGACAATTTAAGGCGTCCCCCGCCTCGTCGACAGACGCTTTGCGGCAGAGTTTTTAAGCAGGGCGAACCGGCGTATAGTTGCAGGGAGTGTGGTAAGAATTTCTATAATATTTCTACCTCTTTCTATTACTATTATGTTTTTTGGGGCAGTTATTTGCCCCTCCCTCTAGGTGTCTACCATCGGAACATTGGGAATTTGGTGGTCGACGCACAGGCATCGTATTATGGGGAGGCACAACTGCGCTAAGAAACTCGGGGCAAACAAGAATTTACCGAAGGCTACCCCTTTCGCACCCACTGTGGACTTTTGGGGCTCAATTCTAACATCAACGCGGAGGACCTAGAAACTGCGAAACCGGCCTCATTCTTCCTTACCAAGACTTGGGGTCCTTCAAGAAAATAGCGTACTAATTCTTAAAAAGCCGGCATTGCCGAGTGTCAGGCCTCTGGATTTGAGTGCCCATGGGCGGCTATCACATAACATAAGTTGATCCTTCAGCCCGTTTGCCACCTGTTCTATTAAAGAAAAGTTGTGCCTGAAGTGTCAAACACATGTCATTTTTGACGCCATATTTAACCCTCACGATATTTTCCTTTACCTTTCGAGCATGCTAATAGGTTGAGGAAATAAAATAGGTACTATAGGATTATAAAGTTTTCTTGTGAAATAATATTTTATTTTGTGATTTTTTGTAAGTTTTAATAAGGGGTAAGTTGTCTTTTATTCTTAATTTATGGTTTTGGGAATTTTTGGAGTAATTTTAAATGATTTTTTAGCTTTGATACCAAACAGATGGTATTAGAAAACAATTATGTGTATATTATATATTATTAAAAAAATATGTGGTGAAAATTACGATATAAACGTTTTGGTGAGATCATCAAAAAATCTTCCTGGCCCCACCCACCTCACTTAATCTGAGTTAATGATAGGTTTATTTTTATTTCAGTCATTATATCTAATAAAAAAAATATCGTGTCACAATGTTCGTTCCCATACTCCTCCGAAACGGCTCGACCGATTCTTATGAAATTTTTTATGCATCTTCAGTAAGTCTAAGAATCGGCTACTATCTATCTTTCAAACCCCTAAGTGATTAGGGGTTCACCCCAACAATTTATTTAAATTTTTTTGGATAATTTTTTATTTGTATTTGGCATAAATAATACATACAAGCCTTAATTTTCACCCTTCTACGATTAACCCCTATTTTTTTATTATAGTAGATAGTTATTTTTATTGAACTAAAAATGTTTCCTAGAAATAATATACATGGCGAAACAACGTTTGCCGGATCAGCTAGTAATTGTATATTTATTATGCAACATAAATAACCCATAGTAAAACACCGTTCTTTTGACTTATTTGAAGCTTATTAAGATGACATTTCCAGGTATGGACAACACGTGCGTGCTATGCGTGGAGTGCTTCAAGGTGTCAGCTCACAGGCATCATAAGTATAAGATGGGTCAGTCCTCCGGAGGTGGATGCTGCGACTGTGGTGATACAGAGGCCTGGAAAAGAGAGCCCTGCTGTGAACTACATGCGGTGAGACCGATTGCAAGATAATATGTAATGCACTACCGAAGTAAAACGTTACGTTTGAGAACTTAAATGATAATATTTTAAGGGGAAAGATTTCATGGTTTGTTGGTTGTTGAAAACTATTGGATTAATCTGAAAAATTCTTTCAACATTAGAATTCTACATTATCCTTGATGAACGTAACGTTGCTGTAGAATGATAACCTCGTATGTCCAGAGAACCAAACATCACAGGAAACGAAAAATGTTTCATTTCGTCAATGTTCGTTAAAATATTATTATGTGTTTTGCCCATAGTTTTGGGTGGTTAAAAGGCCTTATTTATTAATAACATAAATAAGTCCATACTTCATGATTATACCATTTAAATGACATAAGAGTTAAGAATAAAAATAATTTTTTGACGGTGTGAAATGGTGGTGTGAAATTTAAACAGTTAAATATACTAGCTACTACTGTTTTATGTACTTATATCGAAGGGTATAAGTACATAAAATGATGTCCCAATTTGTTTAAATGTGATTGGTCTAACGGATAGATGAATATCGCTGATTGGACTAGAGAATTTTGTTCCTTTGATGGATATTATATTGATTGTGAGCCCAATCAGATTGTCATTGGACGCTGGCGCCACCAATTTTATTAGATTTATAGAATTATTGCACTTGTTAGGCTGCATTTAGTGCATACGGATGGACCGTACGGACTTCTGTTGTCTGAAGCTACCGTACAGCCATCAATTGTTGCGTGCACGGCCCGCGGAGCGACCGGTCGAGAATGAGCGCGTCCGTGTTTCGTACGCGCGAGGCATATAATCTACGCGATTAGTGCGTACGCGGACGCAGAATTTGTCCGAACGTGTGTGCGTACAGTCACAAACTAACAATGATTATCCCGTATCCGTGATATGATGGACCGTATAGCACTAAATGCAGCCTTAGACCTACAACGCACTAGCGGCTGGCCGCAATGCGGTGTGCCGCTGCGGCGGGCCGCACATCGATTATTATATGAAACCGCACGATAACAACGCACTGACTTGCGGTCAACCGTCAACCGCTCCGGTTGATCTGGAGCTCCGGCGAGCCGCACCGGTTGAATGATGCGGCGCGCCGCGTCCCCTTCACGCACTCGGCGCGGTTAGCCGTCCTACCTACGTCATCACATATAATTATTTAACAAATGTAAACAAAATATTGTAAACCTATTTTAAAAGAGTAAAAAATAAAAAAATAAAATATGTTTACTATGGAACATAAGATACATGTATCACTTATTCCACGTCATTAAATTTGAATTTGTAATATTTCAAGAAGCACTGACGAGTGACGATTGCGGCAGACCGCAATAGGACCGCAATAGGGACGGTTAGCCGGAATACGGCAGGCCGCTACGGCAGACCGTATATACCGCGGTCCGCCGCAGCGGCACACCGCATTGCGGCCAGCCGCTAGTACGTTGTAGGCCTTAGAGTTCTGGTTAAGAAAATATTTTTAAATTTTAATCAATAAACAAGAATAGAGATGGCAACACCAGTATTATTGCAGTCTCACGTTCATATAAATCCAAAAGCTTATTGCTAACTTGTTTGATTTTTGTCTATTCCGTGTTTCTTTTTAGGGAACTGACGATAAAGAAGAGATTCAAACGAACATCAGCCCCGATATAGTGGAGCGTATGAAAATAGTCGCGTCTGTTTGTCTGTCTTATTGCTTTAGGCTGCTCACGCTTGACCATGCGCCTGGGCTTCCTAATGATCTCAGGTAATTTTAATATTTTTTTATTCATTAATTATTTTTTTATTGGACACTCAATGCCAGAAAGCTCGCGAGTGCGTTGGCAGTCTTATAAGAATTGCTATTTTCTTGAAGAACCCTGAGTCAAATTGGTTCGGAAATACTTCAGTGGGCAGATGGTTCCTCATAGTGGTGGTGCGCAGCAAAAACTGCTTTTAAAAAAACGCTTATCTTTTACATACTTACATTTTTTATTTATAAAAACTTCTTATGATCACTGTAATGCAATATGTTTTTTTAATAACAATTCAGATTAAAAGACGCCGAACGTGATCTGTTACAAATACTCGATCAGCCGGACTGTTATTGCACAGTATTGTATAACGACGAAACGCACACATTTGAACAGGTGAATAATATTTTTATTTACGCTTACGCCTATTACGATATTTTATAACGCTTACAATCAATTAACCGTCACTTAAACACATTTTGACGTGACAGCTAATAAATCGATGAACGCCGGCTGCACGCACGAAAAAGCATGATTCTTTGTCCCGGTACGCTCACTGTCCCGTAACGCTGTCATTGTACGCTTGCGCTGCATCTATATCTCTTCCACTCGATTGGCCTATGCATCCCAGGGTTCACTCCTTTGTATCCATACAAAATAGTGATAATTCAATGAAAATGATTGAATTTTATTCATAAAAGTATGCTATCATTTCATCAATGTTTTGTTATGACGTTGTCACGTTAAACTATCGTCCCTAAACCGACTTTACAAGCAACCATTTTTTTTCTTTATCTATATACGTAGTCGGTCCCAAAGTTCTGTCATAAATGGAAATAATGATAAAAACAAAAGTACTGATCAGTTTGTAATGAGTGATATATCAATTCTTAGTACATTAATTAAGGAATAAAAAAAGCATAAAAATATTCGAAATAACCTCCCTCATTTTTAATACAGGCCCTTAAGCGTCGCGGCCAGTCGTCTATCGCAGCACGCACCATATTCGTGTCGATTTCAGTCACTGGTTTTTTTAAAGATGACTTCAGATTCTCCAAATTTTCATGAGGTTTATCACAGACCTTCCTCTCTAAGCCCTGTCATAATTTCTGGTCCAAAGGATTAAGGTCCGGACTGGAGGAAGGCCAATCCTCATGTCTAATTAAGACGATGTTTTGACGCTCAAACCAGGCTTTAGTGGTCTTGGCTTTGTATGCAGACGCAGAGTCCTGCTGGAACACGAAGTGATGTCCCGCAAATAGGGTGCTGGACATGTCTTTGACAAGGCGATACAAAACCGTCTCTTGGTACACTGTAGCACTGGTTTTGACCCCCTTTTCGAAAAAATTAACCTCAGTTAGCCCGTAATAGGACACTCCCAACCAAACCATTACTGATGATGGATGATGTCCATGTTGCACCCTTGGAACTTTATTTTCAGCTTCTTCAGAACTCCTAGCGTACACTGTATAATTCTGTTTATTGTACTTCTCTTCAATATCGAAAAATTTTTCGTCCGTAAAGAGGATATCACGGTGTCGGTTTTTCGCGTACCGCTTAAACAACACCCGCGATCTCTTAAGCCTTATTGCTTTTAGACGAGCATTAAGTAAGTGCCCACTCTTTTTTGTATGCTCGTAGACCAAGATCTTCATTTAAAACCTTTTTTACTGTTTTCCTACTGACACCCATCTGCAAATCCATCAACTTCTGTTTTCGGACAGGATTTCTTACTATCCGCGCCTTGATAGCTTTGATTACTGCTGGTGTTCTTGCGGAGCGTGGCCAGCCAGTTCTTTTCTTGTCCTCAACACTGGAGACTTCAAGGTACCTATCAATAGTACCGTACACAAACCTAAGCGTTATATTCAAATTTTTGAGCAACTTGAAAATGGTACTCGGCGAGTGTCCACAGCGGTGCAACGCAATAACAACTATTAGGTTTACTTTCAATGTCCACTCCATCGTGAAAAATTACGGAAAGTTATTGTTTTTTGTTTTAAAACAATAATCAAACATTCCAATATAGAATGCAATAATTTTTTTATAAAATCCTGCTCGAAATGTAGAAATAATGTGCTAGTGACAGAACTTTGGGACCAACTACGTATATAAATGAATCCCTATTTCCCTTGGTCACGGCATCACGCGTGAACGGCTGGACCGATTTCGTTGTTATTGTCCGGATATGGTTATGAATCCTGACTTTTGTTGAGCTTTTTGTATGCGTTTGGGTGGCGCCGTGGATGGCTTAGATTAAAAAATCGGCAGATGTCGCTGCAGTCAGTACTTTCATACTTTGTTTAATATCCTAATCGCTTGAAATATACAAGACAACGTCTGTCGGGTCCGCATAGTCTTGTATAAATATGTTTTTAACTAAATAGTTGTACGTAAAATAAAATCTGATAGTTCCCGGCTATATTGGTAATATTATTTACAATATTCATAGGCCGGGGCGCAATTGCTTGCGAGACTCTTTCTTTCTTGTTGTTAAAGGTATATTTGGGGTATTTGATGATATTGTCGGGACAATCGCATGGTCAAGCGACACATGCATTTGATGAGTTTAATTTAATTTTTCAATTTATTGATAAAGATATTGTTTCTGTTTGAACGGATTATTCAAACTCAAACTAACTTTATTCATATAGGTAGGGTAAGGATTAGGGTCATTTAAATTAACGTTAAATTTATAAAAACTTTATTTGATTAATTTAAGTTTAACGAGAGCTTTGAGAATTTATTCAGTAATCATTCTCTGATTTCGCTTGAGAGTTTGTTGTACAAACGAATACAATTTCCATATTAGTTCTATTTCGCGTATTATACTGGTGAAAGTCACCATTTGTTTTAAAATCGTTTAAATTTTTTTTACATACAACAAGGCTTCAAGAATATATTGACCAGATAGTGTCATAATATTTAATTCCTTAAACTTATTCCTAGACTTCTGTGATACTTTTTGGTCGCTTATTAAGCGAATTTTATTAATTAATTATTAAAAAATATTTTCAGGTGATAACAACACTGATGCGTGTAATGAAATGCAACTACCGCGACTCAGTGGAGTTAGTGAGTCTCATTGACCGCGAGGGTCGCGCGCTGGTCAAGTGTAACTCGTTCCAAGTTTGTGACAAACTCAAGACTGATATTGAGATGTAAGTTCTAAAACATTGAAAACTATTGCATTACGGAGCGTTCAAGTATTACGTAACGAATTTTTGGGGGGAGGGCTTTTGTGAAACGTTACAATGCGGGGCGGGGATTGAATTACGCGTTATTGTTAATATTATTTTCGACTTTCCAGTACTTTACACCACATAATGGTAACTTTTAGGTATAAATAGTCACTGGGTGGTCTCGAAACGTTTTACTATACTTGGGTACTGTATTATTATTGTATTTATTTTATATGTAACAACCAAGCATTCTTAATTAAATCTTTTAAATTTAATTATACATACAAATGACTTCAACCGCTAGACGCATTATTTTAATGATACGATTATTAATATGTCCGGACGTTTCGTGTGCTTTGGGCACTGCAATTTATCCCCCTCGCCCCTCCTCTTGTCAGCAAAAGTAAGCAAAGCTCTAAAAAATAATAGTACATAAACGTAATAATTTTTTGTAGGAATTGTTGAAAGTGCATTTCGTTTTCAGGCATAGACAATGTGTAAAAAAGTAAATAATTACTGTTGACGTCAAAATTCTCCCTATAGTGCGTACATAATACTTGAACGGCCCCTTTGTCAAAAAGTTCAATTAAATCTTAATATATATATTTCTTGTGTGCGTGTGTATGTGACTGAACTTCTCTCAAACGACTGGACCGATTTTGATGAAATTTTTTGTGTGTGTTCAAGGGGATCTGGGAATGGTTTAGATTCACAAATCAGCCCGGCAGATGGCACTGCAGTCGGTACTTTAATACTTTGCTTAATATCCTAATCGCTTTAAATATCATGCAGGACAACGTCTGTGGGGTCCACTAGTGTTATATAAATTGGGATAGTTAAAATTCTATATAAATGTAGACGGAATTTTTCCATTATTTATTAATTTTGGTTTGGAATAAATGAAAATTAATGAAAACGACAGACAAAAACAATTTATGATAAATTATTTATGTTTTTTAATAGAGCTTAATTTTGATAAATATATAAAATGGAAATTGATGTGTTGTCATATTGTAGAAATTAATGTTTTCATGTTTCTTAACTGTGGTGTTGTTTGACAAATGGTTTTTAAATTGACAGTTTCGTTATGATGTTACCATAGAGTAAAGAATTAATGTTTCATTACTAGTCTTTCGGCCAGACTTCTACAAAGTCTTACGGCCTTTTTTAATCTTTTAATCGAATCCCACAATCTCTTGGCACAAATAAACTACCAACATCTTTATACAATGCACCTTAGCTATATTACGCTAAATTGAAATTAATTTAAATACCTAACCACTTGTCAAACGATACCGCTGTTGAGTGCGGGCGTATTTACTTAGCGGGCTCGCCATGTTCGAAAGGTTCACGTCACGCCACGGGCCCGAACTACGCGTGCTCGTTATGCACGCGCACGTCATCGCGCACCAGACCTTCGCCATGAAGCTGCTTAACTGGTAAGTATAACAATATATATACACTACATAGTATAAAACAAAGTCGCATTCTCTGTTCCTATGTATGCTTAAATCTTTAAAACTACGCAACAACGGATTTTGATGCGGTTTTTTTAAATAGATAAGAGTGATTGATTGTATCTAATGTGATGTCGTAAATAATTAAATTTTTTCTGCTTATATTGCAAACGCAGGCTGAACCCTACGAGATTTATCAAAATATCCAAATTTAACGCGTGCGGGCCACGGGCAGTAAGGGCCTTTTCACACGTACCACAACCACACCACAACTACAACCACACCTCAACCACACCACGTGGCCGGGCGTATATTTTGTATTGAAAATGAATAGGACTATTCACACGTACCACATTTTGCAGTGGTTATCGACCGTGTGTGTAATACCGACCACATCGCGACCACAACGCAACCACCAGCGATACTGCGAAGTAGTGGCCGTCAGTCAACACGTGATTCCGATATGAAAGCCGGAGTGCACACCTACCCCACCTGGGTCTACCCCATTGAGATTTCACGAGACTTTTATGAAAATATCAGCTTAAATTAATGTTAATGTAGTAAAATTACACTGAACGTTCGTGATGACTCCATCTTAACTCATAAAAAAAGTCTCAAACCATAAGCAAACTAAGCTGAAAAACCGTGTAATTTCTGTATGGCATAGGGCAGATTTGGGTTCTTATTTGGCAAGCTCCAATAAGTTTTCACTGAACACACGTAGCTTCGTACTTCCAGTTAGTATGTAGTATTGCCCAGTCTTTTGTAATTACTTTAAGTCGTGACCAGCGAGAAGAAGCTAAAGTGAAGCAGTGTTGGCCTAGTGGCTTCAGCGTGCGACTCTCATACCTGAGGTCGTAGGTTCGATCCCCGGCTGTGCACCAATGGACTTTCTTTATATGTGCGCATTTAACATTTGCTCGAACAATGAAGGAAAACATCGTGAGGAAACCGACATGTCTTAGAGCCAAAAAGTCGACGGCGTGTGTCAGGCACTGGAGGCTGATCACCTACTTGCCTATTAGATTTAAAAATGATCATGAAACAAATTAGAATACTGGCGCTTATAGCAAAGTTTATTTCGTAGTTAGTACCAAAATTTTATTTTCCACCTCAACACAGGCTACAAAACTTCGTGAGCCAAGAGCCCAGCCTTCGTCTGGTGCTCAGTCAGGTGGCCTTAGGTGAAGAAGAAGGATTGAGCAGCGGTCTATCCTTGTCCAACATGTCAGGGGGCGTGGCGGCCGGTGTGATGCAGAATGATTGCCATATGTGGAAAGCTGCAAGGACTGCGTGGCATAGATTACTCATCGCCACTACTTTGATGGACTATTCTACTAAGAGGACCATGGCTATTCTGTTCACGAAGAACTATGGTGAGTTGATTGAGTTTTAATATATTAAAAACGAAGTTTTGTGAGTTACTACGTTGGATTTGTATTTTATTAAGACTGCTAAACAAAAATACAATATGTTTTTCCTCCAAAACTATGCGCAGTATATGAGACAGTGCATCGTTTCGGGTTATGCAATATAGTTGCACTCGTAATAACTCCGGTAGCTCATTAGTAAAACTTTAGATAAGGGAGCGTTCAAGTATTACGTAACGAATTTTTGGAGATTATTGACCCCCCCACCCCCCATGTAACGCGCAGTAACGTTTTTCTGTACCCAAGTATAGTAAAACGTTTCGGCCACCTAGTGACTCTTTATACCTAAAAGTTACCATTATGTAGTGTAAAGTATTGGAAAGTCGAAAATAATATTAAAAATAACGCTTAATTCAATCCCCGCCCCGCATCGTAACGTTTTACAAAAGGACATCCCCCAAATTCGTTACGTAATACTTATATTTGATAATTTTTTTGCAGGTACGATTCTCAAAGATTTCATCCGAGACGACCACGATCACTCGTTCTCGATCTCGTCGCTGTCAGTGCAATTGTACACGACGCCGACGTTTGCGCATCTTCTCATTGGGAAGCATGACGCGCTGTATGTCGTTATGAATACGTTTGTCAGCGAATGCAATCGACGCTGCACTCCTGAGGTAAGATGCAGCCATGGTTGTTCCGTCACCAATAACACTTGCAAAGAAGATATATAATATTAAATTGCATATTTTTAGTTCTTAATCATGTGTATTGTCGTTTATACTTATTGTATTATTTCTTTTTTATTATTGTGATGTTTCAATTAAAAGGCCGATTCACATATATCAGTGGAGCCACAGTTCCGACACAGCAATCACGGACGCATTCGTTGACAACGATATTTTTTGTCGGATCACTGACGCCGCGTTATTATTTATTATTTTTCGTTATTTTGTTTATTGCAGAAGAATATTGAAGCAGCTCTCTGATATTTTAATTTTTTTTTAATTTTTAAGTAATTCTTTGTATAATGTTTCATGAACCCATTTTATTTTTTTCCTTGATGCTGCTCTTCGTCTAAAGTAACAGCTATCATTGCTAGCTCCGTAGTATTGAACAGAGCCATAATCACGTTACTTGACGACGGACACGTTTTCACTGAAGCTTCTTAAACTGAGTGTTGACATGTGTGAATTGAATGACTGACGCAATACTATGTTTCACTGATACTGAACTGAGCGGACACGTTGACGGAACTGTGGCTTCACTGATATATGTGAATCGGCCTTAAATGTTTTGATGCATGTTCTGTGTGTTTGTATATGTTTCGTTATTTTGACATTATAAAAATAAAAATTCTCACGGTGGTTTCTTGGAAGAGATCGCTCGAGAGCGATAAGGCCGTCAGTTGCCATCCTTTTTATTGGAGTTTACTCCTTAAGAAACGATTTGAGTTATAAGGCCCGGTACGGAAATTTTATGAGGAGTAAAATCAAGTGTAACACGAAAAGTTGAGGCGTTATGTAGAAAGAGACAAATGGATTGAACGTGTAAAAGAATGAGATGGAATACATTACACAGACTTTTCTATTTTGAATTCACGTTTTGACAGCCACGTTACAACATTGTCAGTGTTGACAGGTGTAAAAAATAAAAGTAGATTGCCTAGCGTGCCATAGAGTTTTGTCAATAGTAATGGTCAGTGAAATTAAAACTAAAAAGATTGTTCATTCTTATTCTTCTCTGACTATAAAGGTAACTTTGGTCACATAAAGAAAATCCTATTTGGGCATAGATGATGTAGGTACGTTTAATTACTACTTCAAACATTTATATTATAAAAACATATATTCTTACCACCTTTAGTATGAAAATATGCTCGACAGCCACAGAACATTATCGCCATTTTATCATCGTTCGTAAGGAGTAAACTCCAATCGTGCGTCGTAGCTGACACACACACACACTTTTTTTAATTGTACTATATGTTTGTATACATGCAACGAATTGTTAATTAATAAATATTTTAAGCAACCAAAACAAGATATCTAACGTGTAGAATTTTCGTATTTTTTTTAACTTGATAAATACTTTCAGGCGAGCAATGTTGGCCTAGTGGCTTCAACTCTCATACCGTAGGTTCGATCCCCGTCTATGCACTAATGGACTTTCTTTCTATGTGCGCATTTAACATTTGCTCGAACGGTGAAGGAACACATCGTGAGAAAACCGACATGTCTTAGACCCAAAAAGACGACGGCATGTTTCAGGCACTGGAGGCTGATTACCTACTTGCCTATTAGATTTAAAAATGATCATGAAACAGATTCAGTAATCTGAGGCCAAGACCTAAAGAAGTTGTATTGCCACTGATTTAATTTTTTCATTTATTTAAATACTTTTAGGGTCGCCTCGAATTTGACCGTAACCATCATTCGATGGCGTTCAAACGCGCACAATTCATTCTGTACGACGTGAAGTATCTTCTTGGCTCTATTCCGACCACATTCGACGACGACCTTCGCAAGGGATTCTTGCACGGACTATCCTTGATGCTGAATCTCCTGGTGATGATGCAGGATATGGACTCTGTTATGAGACAGGTAACTTGTTCTAACTGGTGTGTTTCTTTTACTGATGAACTTATTTAGATGATATATTCACAGGTGAATCTCGTCGGGAATCTCTTGCTTAAAAACTTTCGTTGTTGGGCCTATGTATCGTTTGCCCCACCGTGATATATTTATGTGAGAGAGTGGAATCTTCTCATACTATATTTTCGTCCCTAATATGTCCGCAGTCTCCTTAAATTAAAATCAAATCAGTTTAATGTTGATGCCATTATCCCGACTTGTTCTGAGCGTATGACGGATTTTCCGGGCTTCTTATAAATTTGACATTTATTTAAATGATCCTTATTCTTGGGATTGATTTGTTCCCGTTCAAATAATTTGTATGACTCATAACTTGGCGATTAAAAAGAGTGGCAGATAGTTTCTTGCCAGTTCTTCTTGCCCGCTCCTTGACTAGCGAACTGGTAATGTAAATTTATTATCAATGAACATCTTTTCTGTTGACGTTCATAAGTGTACTTGGTTACCTATACGAATAAAGTTATTTTGAGTTTGATGTCAAATAATTAAATAGTTTTTAATATGGCGGTATTATCCAGGTGGGGCAACATATGGAATACGAGCCAGAATGGGAATCGGCTTTCAATTTGCACGTGAAGTTAGCGCACAGTGTTACGCTCGCGCTGGATTGGTGCGCTGCGGAACGTGCAGTGTGCGCTAACGCATACCGTATGGCGTTAAGGAGACACGCAGACACCTGCCATAACCCTGAATTGCAGCTTAGAGGTATTTTTATTAAAATTTTGGAACCTTATTTCGCTCACGTGATGGCCCAAGTGCGTTACCGACCTTTTAAGAACTGGTATGCACTTTTCTTAAAGGACCCTTAGTGGAATGGGTTCGGAAATACTTCAGTGGGCAAAAACTGCCTTAAGAAACGCTCAGTTATGGAACGTCGAGGTGATACGAGTGGAATTTCGTATTCTGCCTTGACGTCCGATGATGAAACTGCTTACTTTGATTGACAGAGGAATCAACAAAAATATATTATTAACATTTAATACTATGATATAATAGTATTAGGATACTAAGAATTAGGTAATAATGCAACACGTTTTTGACATACGGAACTCATACTTGGAGCTAAGTTCTACTTTGAAACTCACACAACACAATATTTTTTAAACCGTTACTCGCACTATTTGTATTTGCTACAAACAGCTGCCCACTGAAGTATTTCCGATCCAATTCGACTTAGGGTCCTTCAAGAAGAGAGCGTACCAATTCTTAAAAGGCCGGCAATGCACTCGCGAGCCCTCTGGCATTGAGAGTGTCCATGGGCGGCGGCGGTATCACTTAACATCAGATGAGCCTCCTGCCCGTTTGCCTAACAAAAAACTTAGATCAAAATGAACGGCTTTTTTAAATCGTCAACAGTATTCAATAAATTTAATGTCATTATTTATTTCTAACTATCATAAATTATATGTAACAAAAAACAATTATGCTAAAGATTTATCCAAAGATGAAACATAGATTATTTTTACAAAAAGGTTCAAACATTTACAAAAGAAAAAATTAATAAAAATCATTAAATACATTTAACTAGATAATACCTAATTTGGCTGTGTTGTGTGATGGTGTGAAAGTGAGGATGTGTATGGGGTGTGCTCATGATGCTGAGGTGTTAGCGCTACGGATATTCATAATACTACTTTTGAGCATAGCTAGAACTTTATCGTTATCCAGAACTTGGCACCCAGAGCGCCTTCGTGATACCATACGACGTGTCAAAGGAGCCGGTGTCGGTCCACCGGCCTCTGTCCCGATTTATCGCTGGGCTGCACTTGCAGTTGCACAAACACGGCCTGTCTTACCACAGTCGCGAGTTTGAGAAGGCGGACAAGCCTAAGCCGACGCCTGAAGAACTTATTGGTAAGAATTTTGTTATAATAGGGTTAGTATTTAGTAATAAATAAATTTATAACAAAGATATTATTACGCTAAATTTACTTATTTTACTGTAATGAGCAGTGTTGGCCTAGGCTTCAGCATGCGACTCTCATGCCTGAGGTCGAAGGTTCGATCCCCGGCTGTGCACCAATGGACTTTATTTCTATGTGCGCATTTAACATTTGCTCGAACGGTGAAAGAAAACATCGTGAGAAAACCGACATGTCTTAGAACCAAAAAGTCGACAGCGTGTGTCAGGAAGTAGTCTGATCACCTACTTGCCTTATTATATTGGCAAATGATCATGAAACAGATTCAGAAATATAAGGCCAAGACCTAAAGAGGTTGTAGCGCCACTGATTTATTTATTTTTACTTATGTTACACGAGAATTTTATATATATAGAGATGATAAATATACTTATTCCATGTCAATATGTTTCTAGACACAATATACACCTTTTAAAGTATGGGTCAGGAGTTCATATTAGATTTAAGATTTTCTAAGATCAAAACAACAAACAAAAAAAAACACACACACGCACACGCATAAACACACAAAATAACAATAATCAAAGTGAGAAAATTAAATAAATAGTTTTTTTTCCTTTTCCCATTAGGTTCGTCTCAAGTATGTAATGCGTGTCTGCTGTGGCTGTAATTTGCCCTGGGGTCTTAGTCAAGATGCCTTAACAGTAGTATATATAGAAAGTCAAAAACTAAATTTGTATGAAAACTTTTCCACACGAACTGTCATTTCCATACATATTTAGTTTTTGACTTTCTACATACACTACTGTTAAGGCATCTTGACTAAGTCCTCTGGCATTACTACAACATACTAATAGTAACAATGTGATTTCAGAGCCCGTACTTCGCACGGCGGCAATGATAGGACAGGTCCACGCGGGGATGTGGAGGCGAAATGGATTCACTTTGCTCAACCAATTGTTCTTCTATCACAACGTGAAATGCCGGACTGAGATGTTGGACAGGGATATCGTTATGCTGCAGGTAAAAGGGTGCATTATTGCTTAAACATTTGATTAATTAATGCATTTTAACCGAGCTCTTTTGTCTTCTTAAAAAAACAGATTTGGGAGTCGAAGCCAACATTTATTTTTGGAGTTTATTTAAAAAAACCTCCCCCCCCCATGTAACGCGCCGTAACGTTTTTCTGTACCCAATAGTAAAACGTTTCGTGACCACCCAGTGACTCTTTCAATACCTAAAAGTTATCATTATGTGGTGTAAAGTACTGGAATGTCGAAAATAATATTAACAATAACGCGTAATTCAATCCCCGCCCCGCATTGTAACGTTTTACAAATAGACGACCCCCTCCCTCTCAAAATTCGTTACGTAATACTTGAACGCTCCCTTAGTACACTGAAATACAGTACTATTTAAATAATTGAATAAAAAGGAGGGCAACTTGTCTTGGCGGCCTTATCGTTTTCGAGCGATGTGTTACAGGCAACGACTGTGAGAACAAAATAAATAAATAATGTGAGCCAAAGAAATGCAAAATTACATAAGATATAACTTATAGTCTGATTTTTAATTCCTTAGAATTCTGACATTTCATAAGTGTTGCTAGTTCTCCACCGAAAAAGGGAATAATTTGATCCATTTGAGGGAAATAAAAAATAAAATGCTACATATTTTTTGATTTACATACAAAAAGTTAAATCGAAATATTTACTTACTGAAGTGATCTAATACAAAAATAACAAACATTTTAATATCACTAACAATTTATCGAATTAACTTGAATTACTTTATTTTATTCTTTAGCTGGCATCACTGCCTACTAATTCCAGGTTTAGTAAACCTTAAAAAAAAATGTTATCTTTACTTTTGCGTTTTTTACTGTTTGTGATGAAAATGGACGTAACTATCACTCGCAGTAAAACTTTTTTGTGAGCACCGCACTTAGTAAAATATATACATTCACTAACTCATAAAATATATGTATAGACTCAGATGTTCAGACTCCTATTGAAATTGAAAAATGTGCCCGGCCAAAAAGGTTTGCAATCTCTGACATGTCAAAATACGATATCTAGAGTATAGACAAAACTAATGGAAGAAAGCAAAGCAATTAAAACTTATAAACAGTGAAAAGGACAATAATTAAAAAGGCCAAAATGTTTTTGCAGATCGGTGCATCTCTTATTGAAAGCAATGAGTTCATAATACACGTCCTGAATAAGTTCAACCTTCTGGAATGGGCTGAGGCCGACTTCGAAAAGAAACCAATAGAAGATGACACCTTACGACACACTATCAGTATGGTAGAAGAGTTCTTGGCTCTGCTAATCACTAGTAAGTTTATGGTTGCCGAAGTCTGGCAATCTTTCCCTCTGTTTAAACAGATTTTTCTTTTTATAGAACAGGGAGCAAACGGGCAGGAGGCTCCTCTGATGTTAAGTGCAACCGCCGCCCATGGACACTCAATGTCAGAGGACTCGCGAGTGCGTTGCCGGCCTTTAACCAAATAAATCTCTAGTAATTCCCAACCCACTTAAAAATGTAAGATTAGTTATCCATGTTGAGTTACTTGGTCAGGCACAGGTGACCGATATGGGCACGGCAGTGGAAAGGGAAGTTTTAATTAATTTTGATGCAATTTTTAGATTTAAAAAAAATCGTACGTTACTTCTAGTATTTATTACCGTATTATTAAATGTAATTATTTTCAGTCGTTGGATCGCGATACGTTCCTGGAGTTGGAGAGGTGACGTCTGAAGATCGAACCAAGAAGGAGATCATCCAGATGCTCTGCGTCAAGTCCATGCCGCATTCGGAGCTTAACAAGTGAGATACAATGTAACATTTAGGAATTATCAGGTTTTGGTTTGTCCACCGTTGGACATTGGCCTCCTTCATCCGGTTCCACTCGTGTCTGTCGTGGGCGCCAGGCGCGGCCAGGTGACTTTTCGACACTGGTTTTAATTCTATATTATTATGTTGTATATATGTATGTTATTCTTGTTCTAGGATTTAAGTTAGCAAAAAATCTATACATTCTTGGCTTGATTTCTCCGTGGAGGCTATGGAATTATGTTAATCGTCTATATATAATAATCAGAGGACACACAAGTTTTGCTACTCTGTCGGATGGTTATATCACAATCCAAAATATGTATTTGATTTCAACTTCTTTTTAATCATAAATACTTCACCATTTCTTCCACTTTTCTTTCCGGTGTCTTCGTGTTCTACAATCCTTAGAAAAGAATCCCTCTTTTCTAGTATCAGAGAGGCCCAGAATATACCACTTCGTGTTCCGCAGAACATGTTCCAATTCCTCATGACGGCCGTTGCCTACGAGCGAACTTATACGAACATTTATTGTACAAATATATGTGCGTTGAATGTGGCGAGTGGGTTTTTCTATTTTTTGTGTGGACACTGGTGTTCTACTGCCCCCACGGGGACCAGCTATATTGGGAGAGATTGTTTTTACTATATTATTTGTTTTGCTGGATGAGTTGATTTCTCTGCTTACCAACATTTAGTTGCTATGGTCTTTTATTAGAGGAAGTAGTCACAGAAAGAGAATTAGATCTGGCCCCTATCATGGCAAAAGCATTTGTTCTATTAGTTTTTGACGATAATTTGACGATAAAAGTGCCTGATGCTGTTTTTGATGAGCCTCAGTTTGTTGGGAAGCCGATAATTCTCTCTTCCTTTTGTCTGTTTTAAAACCGTTTTACTTGACAATAAGTTTATCATATCAGATATAAGTAGTTGCTTGAATTTGCTCTTATTTTTTTAAGATTTCATGCTTCTACCAAATATTAACGAAAGATATTAAAATCGGCCTTGGTTTTTCTTCCCGTTTTTCCGGTTTTCCGATACGGTATATTTTATTTACCTCTGAGTTTTCGAGTGTTATATTTAAATCCTCCAGGTTATGCTATTGGACATTCTGCAGTAACTCGGTAGTACTACGTTCTTCCTCTTTCAAGTCAAAAATTATTAAATTATTTTTCTTGTTTTCCCTTCCAACTCTTTCTCTTCAACTTCTCATGTATTCTATTTATTATTTTGTTTGTTAACGATTGTTTCAGTCTTCTATTCTGTTCCTTCATTTCCATTCTCATTTTCTCAAATAACATCTGAAAATGGTCTTCCATTGTTGTTAACAGATTCTTTTTCTTAATACGAATTCAATGTAGGTTGCGTTTAACGGACCTTTTCTTCCTTCACTTCGGTTATTCTTTTGATGTTGTATTTTATGCAAAATGCCGCGGTACCCACACCAATTTTCTGTATATAGTAATTGTAATGTGCAATTGTGAAAATAATTAATTAATTTCACGATTTTAAATTATAAACACGTTTTACAGATCCTTGCCCGAAGACCAACTGCACGAGACGGGTCTCGAAGGCGTGATCCACGAGGTGGCTGACTTCACAAAACCATCCAGTGGAACCAATCGGGGCGTTTATAAACTCAAACCGCATCTTTATGACGAGTATGACGCGTTCTTCTACCACTACACCAGAGAAGATCTTTCTAGAAGTGAAGAAGAACAGAGGAATAGAAGGAAGGCAGCGAGTGAGTAATGTTTTTTATTTTGAATTTTACTGTTTAGACAAAGGTGGTGGAGGAAATTTGCCAATTTGACCTTTATAACGAGGCAGTACTAGAAAGAGATGTATAGGACGACAAAAGAAAAGAATGGACATATGACATTATAGAACTAGCGCGGAAAAATTGGGGCCATACAAAAACTATGACGACGAGAAATGAAAAAATCTAGCGTAATATTTAAAAAAAAAAGTTATAGGTACTCAACTAATACCAATATTAAGGAATGTAAACAATGTAATGTATGGATTAATTAATGAAGCCTTAATAATAATAATAACGAGGCAGTTTTTACTTGCATTAATGCTAGTATCATAAGTTTTATTAAAATATTTGTGTTACGTTATCGATAACCAATCTCCAATTCCGTAAACTACCGTGAAAGAAACGGTTCATTTTAGGTATTTATTTATTTTGTATTATTACAGACACAACAAAAATTATATATAATATCAAACAATTACAGTAAAAATATAGTCAAATATGGAATAATTAAGTGAGGGACAGCGGTGAATATCAAAGAAAATATATTTAAATTACTTTAATCAAACTGGTACAATTATTTAATTAACTAAATATCACTATTTAATCGATATGAGGTGCTTGACAAATAATCTATATTATAGACTTATTACTAATTGAGAATTTTACCGGTCCGATATGAGGTATCCGATCAAAAAGCTGATGGTTCTGTTGTCCATTTAATTTTATAACGGTGTTGCGTCAGAGGGGTGCAGGTATCGGTCATGCGGGGCAAAGGGAGTGCAATGGATATGTAACAGAATAAATAATATTTCAAACATTTACAAAAGGGAACAAACAATAAAACATTTTCAATACAATTAACTAAGAGATACCCAATTTGGATGTACTGTGTGATGGTGTAAAAGTGAGGGTGGGTATGTGGGGTGTGCTCATGCATGATGATTTTGCGCTATGGATAGCTTAAACATGTCAAGGCTTAAATATTGGTTGTTGTAAGTTTGGGCTGCGCGATACAAAACTGAGATTTTTGCCTAGTTAGTGTTGATGTGAAGAACATGAAACAAAGCACGATTATGAGTCTGGTAAGCAGGAACAAGAAACGGCATTTTTTCTATTATTCTGGAATTTTTAAAAACATTTTTTTTGCGTTCGTTGTTACGTTAGTTTTTTCTTCTGAATTTGTTAATAAAACTGCATTTTCCTTTAAGTTATCAATTTTAATTTTACTTTTAAAGCACCAAGCAGATTACCAATATCCTCTTTCTTGCAGACTTGCCAGAATGTTGCCCGCCCCCGGCCCTACCGAAGCTGACACCGCCGTTCCGTCTACTCGCGAATCTTCTGCAATGCGACGGTGCATTGCACGTTCTGCGTTGCGTACTCGAACGTGCGATCGACTTACGTGCGCGCTCGTTCTCTGAGCCCCAAGTTCATAAGGTATGCTTTTTATGTGGTTAAATATTTGTGATTATATATAAGATTCAGAGATAGCCAAGTATGAGTCCCGGATGTTAAAAACATTGCTTGTTATTCAAAAAATTCAATTTTACACCTAAATTATATCTAAGTAATTTGATCTATTTCGGGTTCCGAACTCGTGTGCTGTATTCCGTAAGCGAATATATGAATGAGATGATCGATTTTATATCGGGCTGTTCCCTAAGTTGGCAACGGGCCAAGTTTTCTTAAATTTGTTTAAGAATCACACAAATACACATTTCCGAAAAGGAAACGTATAATATATGTACCACAAAGAACGGATCGATAACCGTCGATACACAATTTAATACTAAAATAATATGTCTTGAGTACATATCTATTTTCGATATATCCTTACCAAGAAGAAAGCTACAGAGTCAGTCGTATGGATATGGAAAATATATATTAGTTTGGGAACAATAAGAGAGGGTAGACTGATAGTCACAAAACGCACAAAAAACTCACTACAAAATTATAAAATTGAGGGCGTAACTATTATGTAAAATTAATTGGCAAAAAGGTAATCAAAAATAAACGCAATCACAATCCGAGTGAAAGACAGCAGCGAGTCAATTAAAAGTGTGACGATTGGCCGAGTTAAAATATTTTAGATCACCCTCATCAAAATTTATGAAAATATAATTATGTATTTTGAACAATATAGGTGGGTAGTTAACGAAATTTCTAATTTTCTATCGAAATCTATATGTTTCCTTTTCAATTAAAAGTATTTAAAGTTGAATTCCCACTTTTTAGCTAAGATTTTTATAATTGGTAGCCTTATTTGCACCTGTCCGTACCGTATTAACTTGCAGGCGTTACATCTAATCGGCTACGCATTACGCGACGAAGAGAGCGGCCATTACGAGTTCCTAGCGTTCGCGGAGAGTGCGGCGAGGGCTGGAATCGTTGACTTGCTGCAGAAGTTGGCCGTCAGCCCGCGCGTAGACGCACATCGGGCACTTGCTAATTGGCTGCTTGCTAAGATCAGGTAAATATTAGTGAAATACACTTCTGGAGGTAACAAGGAAGACGATTACAGAACTTTCTACGAGCTGTATTAACTCAAAATTACATTGCATCACCTTGTTGTCTGGTATTTTTTGAGTGTTATAATATATTCAAAACAAAAAACAAAATCAGTGGCGCTACGACCTCTGAATCTTTCTGAATCTGTTTCATGATCATTTGTCAATATAATGGGCAAGTAGGTGACCAGCCTCCTGATACACGCCGTAATTTTTTTGGGTCTAAGGCATGTCGGTTGTGTCAAGATGTTTTCCTTAACCGTTCGAACGAATGTTAAATGCGCACAAAGAAAGTCCATTGGTGCACAGCCGGGATCGAACCTACGACCTCAGGGATGAGAGTCGCTAATATATTGAAATAGTTTATTCTCATTTGGTTTTTTTTTCAGGATACTATTAGGACGACCAGATGAAACGGGTGATGGTGATAAAATGGATGTAGATAATGGCGACACGCCAGCCAATGTCTCGGCCGGTAATTCTGTTCATATAAATAAGAGTAGTTTGGTGGCGATTGTTGTAGATATGTTTTTTTTTAAAGACAATTCACACCAATTGACCTAGTCCCATGCTAAGCTGGTGAAGCTTGTGTTATGGGTACTAGGCAACGGATATACATACATATTATAGATAGATAGACGTATAAATACATATTTAAACACCCAAGACCTAAGCACAACATAAAATGCTCATCACATCGATGTTCGTCTCAGCCGGGGATCGAACCCGGGACCCATGGATTCGCAGTCAGGGGTACTAACCACTAGACCAATGAGACGATATGTTCAGATGTTTTAAATGAAACACTTTGTTGGAAACTGGGTAACAACTGGCTTTAATCGTTTAAAACATGAGCTTATAACTAAGATAACATTAGGGGTTGCGAGGCTAACAAAAACTCACTTTCCTTATCTAAGTGAATCTTCAATACAAGTACAGTCGACCTTTTTGGACATTATCGGAAACGAGAATGTAATATTACAATTTAAGAGTGTGGAAGAAACTAAAGGGCCCGTTTTGGCTTCAAATGTGTTCTCATTATTAACTAAAATATATACATGTAGCTTAACTAATGTTAGGTTACAAAACTCAAGTGATAAGATTTTATTTATTTAAATATGATAAGTAAACTGCGGCCTTTTATCTAAACCTCTCTATTTTAGAGAAGGAGAAAGTTCGTCGCGCAAAATTAGCTGCTGAAAAGCGTGCTAAGGTGATGGCTCAGATGCAAGCGCAGATGAACAAATTTATCACCAGCAATGCGACGCTCTTTGAAGAGACCATTACTGAGGTGAGATTTCGTGTCAAAACTATACTTTAATAATGTGTAGTATTGTCTTTGATTGACATAACCTTTACACATTTAAAGAAAACACTTTTTAACCGGATTAAAGTTATGTATTATTATAAATTTACAATTATTTAACATAATTTTAAATTTATCCGACGTTTCGCGTGCTTTTGCGTGCGTTTTTTTTTTTTTTTTTTTTAATTTTTAATAATGTGTTTCAGATTAAAACAACGTAGAGTCGAGTCCACAAAATTTTGGTTAATTTTGCAATTTTACATATTATAAATGACTTTATATTGTTGCTTATTATAGGGACTGTACAGTCCTTATAATTTCCTGGGTTGGTTTTAATAATAGAAGATTTAACTTATACTCTATATTAACCACTCGCGTACAGCAATATAATATGAGCGAAATAATGATATGTTAATTGCTATGTAATGAATGCAATGTAAAGCCGGATATCCACTATGTTCGCGAACCTCTTGCGCTCCGCGCACTTGCAACAGCTCCGCGTAGTGGATACGTTTGCGAACGTGTAGCGTGAACGGTGTGCGCTCCGCGCTCAGCGCTCCAATGGGTGGCGGTAAATTGGGCGAACACAAAGGGGAGCTCAGTCTCTTCGTGGACAAGAGGACTGTGGAGCTATGGGGATACGCGTTACCGTCTCCATCAGAGCGGCTACGGGAGCGCGGAGCGCAAGAGGTTCGCGAACATAGTGGATACCCGGCTTTACGGTTAAAGAGAGTGCCTATGTCTGGCTATACACTAGGGGCGTAATTCCAACGATTTAGGTGATCGCCACGCTTATAAAACTAAGAAAACCTGAGTGAGCAAAATGTACAGCCTTGGTTCGTACAAGGCTAAAATATAAACCATGTAATAGAAATGTTTATAAAATTTACAAATGATTTGTCTTTTTAGTAAAGGTTTTTTTGGTCCTTCGAGCCGGATTCAAAAGAATCCTATATATGTTCCAGGTAACAGAAGAAGAAGAATCTGAAAACCTTGCGTCATTGTACTGCGGCTCGGCCTTGGGCGTTTGGGGTGGAGGGGTTACCGATATGCCTCGCGTTTGCATCATGTGTCAGGAACAGGTGAGTTAGGAATTCATTGAAAACTTATAGGGAATATTCCTTAGTATAAATCTTTGTGGTTTTCGTATCCTCACTTAAATCCAGCGCACTATAAACACGCTTTAACTTATATATATATATATATATATATTAACAACGAAAGGAGAAAAAAGAATATGCAGAAATTTTGAATGTTATTAAAAGTATATATAGTTATACTTAGGTAACACTGAAAATGTTTAGAAAATGAAAAACGGCTTAATGTAGAAAGTTGCCAATACTTTTATTGTTTTTGGAAGTAATCTCCGTTCCTCTCTACACATCGTCGCATGCGATGGAACCACTGAGAAAAGCGGTGGACCCATTCTTCTTTAGGGGTCTCTTCTATGGCATTTTCGTACACTTTCACCGCATCTTCAGGGTTTGTAAAGCGAATACCTCGAATTTTATCTTTCGTTTTGGGTTCGTAGCAATATATCCAGCTTTCATCACCTGTGACGATGTCAAATACAGCATTTGAGTCACTGCCGTTGAACTTATCTAATATTTGGCGGCACCAGTCCATGCGAAGGTCTTTCTGGTCGTCGGTTAAAGTATGGGGAATCCATCTGGTTCAAAGCTTCCTGACGCTTAATGTTCGTGTAATATTTTTTGAACTTGACTCATACCAATGCCTAGGCTTGCCCGTATCTGCTGATAGGTCACTCTCTTATCTTCCTTTATCATGCGTCGCACAGCACTGATTTAGCTATCTATATATTATTTGTGAAATATACTTTTTGATCCAGTAAATAATTATTTTATTAAATCAACACGCTATCTAAAAAACCTTTTTTCAGTTTTCTCGATAAACAATTTAAATTTATAACCTACTAGCTGACCCGGCAAACGTTGTTTTCCCACGTATATTACTTTTAGAAAACATTTTTTTGTTCAATAAAAATAACTATCTACTATAATAAATAAATAGAGAGGTGAAAATTAGGGGTTGTATGTTTTTTGTATGCTGTATCATAAAAAAATAAAAACAAAAAAAACTTCTAAAAAATAAACAATATTTTTTTGGGATGGACTCCCCTTATGACTTAGGGGTTTGAAAGATAGATAGTAGCCGATGCTCAAACTTATTGAATATGCATAAAAAATTTCATAAGAACAGGTCGAGCCGTTTCGGAGCAGTATAGGAACGAACATTGTGACATGAGAATTTTATATATTAGATTATTCCAATCCAAACACGTTACAGGACCGCGTAGAAACAATGACGGAGCCACTAGTGCTGGTGGCATTCGTGCAGCAGTCCCGCGTGCTGTCCAGATCTCCGCCCCCCGAAGTGCCGCAGGCGGACCAGGCGCAGGCTGAGATCCCGGCCGACATCGGAGCGCAGCCACACGTGTCCTGCTGCGGACACGCCTTACACGCTCGCTGCTGGAGGAAGTACGTCGACGGAGTGCAGAATAAAGAGAAGCTCAGGTATCTCAAAATAATTTGTTTTTAATTTCTTCTCTTTAATTACATTAAAATGTTCATACTAGGTATAAGCGATTCTTTTAAACTAATAAATATATAAGTATTTAAAAAAAGGGTGCGTGTACTTATGTACGCGCGTAAAAAGTTATACTTCTTTGGCTTTCTTTATTTTTTTTTTAAATATAATTAATTAATAATTAATATTTAACGTAAAAAATTTAATAATATTAAATATTTTGTATATTATTCAATTATTCATTCAATTTAATAACTTGGTATGTTTCATAACCTTTTAACTAAGTAACAATAGGTCTTTGTGAAAAAGCATTGCTAAATTTCTTTGAAAAAATAATTAAAACTCCTTTATTTGTTTAAAAGGTACTACAAATGTCATTATGGTCATTCAAAATTCTTGGCATAGCTGCTAACTTCACGCATATTCTATTTCTTTTTACTTGTAGATTGTCTTATTCCCATCTCGCTCGCGCACGCTATAATCACACTGACAACTTTGTATCTCAGGTGCGCGCGCATCGTAAAATTTCACTCTCATCAATTTTTCATAACGCGCCTAAAGAAGTATAACTTCAAAAATGCAAAAAGTCGAATTCGCAGGATATTTGGAAATGTATATATTTAGTAGTGTAACGCGACATACTCGCGTTGGCGTAAACAATAGCACACTACGAACAATACGCGTACACGCAGTGCACACATAGATGTGCGCGGCTCCTATACAATGCCAAGTTACAAGCTCGTGGCAAAAGTCCGTCAAATATCTAGGATTTAACAACAGAACAAGATCCTAAGAGCAGTTGCAAAAGTACCATGGTACATAACCAACAACGAAGTTCACGAACACCTTAAAATGAGAACTATCAAAGAGGAAATCCGGAGACTGGCAGCTAAATACAAGGAGCGGTTAAGCTGTCACTCAAACAACTTTTGCTCGCCAACTCACCATTAGACAGTATGTGAGTCGACGAAAACGTCACCATATTCTAGAGCTAGAAGACCGGCAGTAGCTCTAGACAGAAGATGAGTAGATGCTTTAATGGGAAGGCACTCCACAGGACAGCACCACAGAAAAAATTCGCTCATAGCCTTAGGGCTGATTGCAAATACCCGCAGAAAAAAAAATCTAGGAGTCACGCTCGATAGCGGCATGTACTTCCGAAAGCACATATGCGCCGTTCGTAAAAAACCCTCTTTTGTCTTCTCTCAACTCTATTTCCTCCTGAACAAAAGGAGGGAAGGAAACATGTCCCTTAGACATAAGGTGATATTTTACAAGGCTTCATGACTACGCTACGCTACGCATGACCTACGCTAGCGTTCTTCGCGCATTGTGCCTCCTCTCATATCCACCGGCTACAGCCGCTTCAGTCGCGATTCATGAGAATCGTGACCGGTGCACACTTCTGCGTGTGGAACGTCGATCTCCACCACGACCTGGAGCTCCCTACCATACCCTAGTTGGTACTTCGACAAGGCTAAACACCACCCCGACCCGTTGGTGCGTAAAAGCATCAATTATTACCCCTTCCCAACTAAACGGCCCGTAGGAGACCCTGACATTTATCAAATTGTGTACGTTCTGTACGAATTATTCTCCTATGTCAACGTTGCAACACGTTTTTTGATATTAGACGTATACTTAAATCTATTTTATTCCAGACCTTACCGCATCCGTCAACCCGTCGCATTCGACACAGAGAAGAAGGAATATCTATGTCCATTGTGTGAGCGGTTGTGCAACACGGCCTTGCCGTTATTGCCCGCGCCGCCCATGATGCCCGGCAACCCCCCCATTCTAGATGAGGGCATATTCGGCTGTGCAGTCGATCTTATACTCAGGATGAAGCATCAGGTATGAAAGAAGGATTAACACATTAATTAAAGGGAATCAAAATATTTTTCAAGTACTCTTTGTCTCTTACTTTGTGTACGCTGTGATAGAGACAGTTGACTTGTAGATAAAATAGTGCAATTTTTATATTTTATGAATAAGGGGAACAAATCCTTTAAAATATATAATATCAGCCTGCTCCTGAACGAGTGCTACTTGTGGTGACTGGTCGGACTTTATTAGTTATTTCGACATGTATTTGCGTGTTGTTCCCACGAGAATGTAAGTGCGTAGAACATGGTGTATAGGTTGCAGCTCCTTACAAACGTAGTGTAAAACAAAAAACTTGACGATTAAAAAAAGAGGTAGACATTTTATTGCCAGTTCTTCTCCTCCGTTTTACGCCCTTGATTTGAGAACTGGCGGTAAATATTAAATTAGAAGCATTTAATATATATTTCTTTTCTGACGTTCATAAGTGTACATTGTGTTACCTTAATGAATAAATGATTTTGAATGTTTTGAATACATACTTATACATGTAATATCACCAGGTATGCTCAGCATCCGTGCACCTGTGCACCGAGTACTGCGAAGAAATGCATTGTCAAGCACGCGCACGTAGCGTCGGCGCTTTATCTTCCGAACCCGAAGAAGAGAGCGCGGACGAAGCCGAGGTATACGTCAGCACTCACGCTGAGAACCTTCTTCCGCATCAGTTCATCACGCAGTTTGAGAACCCCATACCTGAGTACAATGAGACCAGCAAGCAGTTGGTTGAACAGTTTGTAGCGGTGAGTCTTAAGTTTTTCTTTTGGTTATTTAAACAAGATTTAACTATTTTTAATGAAGAAGGCACTCGTAGTCTCTGCCTATCCCTACGGGAAAAACTATTTTTTATGTTTAATCATAGTTATTTAAACTAGCGTTTATGAAGAACTTGTGGTTAAATTTAAAAAGACGAGAGAAAAGAGAAGATGAGACTTAGAGCTAATTGTGACTCTCGTATGTCAAAATTCATTAGATGAATTTTGAATCTTATCCTCAATTCTCAAAATATTATCTTTAAATAATAATCAAGTCGACAAACCGTACCTTCAAGAGTTGTTTGTGAATAATTCAGATGGTGCCAGGAGTGTTCGGTCAGGCGGAGCCGGGAGGTCTCACTGCCCTCGCCGCTCTTTATCGTGCCACTTCATACACCGTCATGAGCACCGAAGCTGTACTGCAGGCGGAGAAGAGACCTCTGCTGGGAGACCTGCCCTCGCGACACAGGGACGCCCTTCAAGCCCTAATTCGTCTGGCCGCAGCTTTGCCCTCGGTCTGGCTCGCCCCTAAACATATATCACACCACGCCCTCAGCACCCTCAGCGTCTTGGAGTCTTCGTCTCCTCTCTCGCATCACATTTTCAGCACTCTAGTCACGATGGTCCTGACGGTGCCGTCCCTGTTTTCGAAGTCGGCCGGCCCGGCCAGACCGGCCCATTTGGCCAGGCTCTTCACCCTGGAAGCCTTTCGAGCCCAGATCACGAGGGCTCTCTTGGTCATCGATATCAAACCCAGCGAACCGATGGAGGGCGTCGAGAGGGTCACTTCCCGCAGCCTGCAGAACATGCTCGCTCACGTCAAACTGTTGAGGCGAGGCGAATTGGACATCGAGAACGTGGATCCGGCGGAAGTCTGGGCGGACGCCAAGAGACAGTGCCACACCTTCCTTCGATGCTGCTGTCTGTTCTTCCACTTCCTGAGCGACATCATCCCGCCCACGGAACTGACGGAGGTCGGGGGAGACACGTGGGAGACGATGTGCGAATATCTGGATCTGCCGACCGATTACAGAGAACTGATGGAGGACAGAGGCAGAGTGAAGTCCTTAGAGTGGGTTGGTCATTCGGAGGAGTGGTTCAAAGGGACGATACCCAGGCGGATAGCGCTGGAGCCCGATCCGCCCAGATTGATCACCTTGCCGGAAGATTTCTCGGAGCTGATGAATATCGTGTCGGAGTTCTCGTGTCCGAATTCTGAGCGGGAAGACAGCAAGAATCCAACGATGTGTCTGGTCTGTGGGCAGATATTGTGTTCGCAGAGCTATTGCTGTCAGATTGAAATCAGTAAAGTAAGTGGATATTGGTTCTTTATTTCATTTGACAATCAAATAATAATTTTATACACTGAAGGATTCTCAAACCGCTTCAACTTAGGCTCCTTCAAGAAAAGAGCGTATCAATCTTATAAGGCCGGCAACGCACTCGCGAGTCCTCTTGCATTGAGAGTGTCTGTGGGCGGCGGTATCACTTAACATTAGGGTATTATGGTTAATATTCTACGAATAATATTTTGATATAATTTTCTAGAGTCAAACTTAAGCATGTGTTTAAATGAAAGCTAATTGTATTCAGACATTACTTATTAAAGCGTCCATGGACGGCCCTGAAAGCAGTAGTGATATCGGGACAATAGTGGTGGGGATAAAATGGGTAGTAGAGTTGATAATAAAATTAGGGTATGATTTGCCTACACAGGAGACTCTAGGGGCTCCCCACCACTTCCCCGACATTGACATTGCTAATAACGTGATTCACCTTCGAACCTTGTTTTGTTATCAATAATCCAATAATGAATGATACCGCCTCAGCCCGGCAGCCGCGCTGGCACGTCGGGTGAGCTGGTGGGCGCGGTGGTTGCGCACGCGCAGCGCTGCGGCGGAGGTGCTGGCCTCTTCCTGCGAGTGCGCGAGTGCGAACTACTCCTGCTGGCCGCACCCTCGCCCACCAGAGGCTCCATGATGCCCGCGCCCTACTTGGACTCTTACGGGGAGACCGATCAGGTTCGCTTTTATAATATTAAATGTATACAAATATTAAGTAAATAACTGTAAGTTACTTAAGATTCAAATTTTAATATATTTAATAAAAATGGCAATAATATTTTTTTTTATTTTTTTTATTGATATAAAGCTTGCCTAAGCTCGGCACACTGATACATTGGTAAAAGAAGAGATAATACAACTATTAAACAAATATTAAACTAATAAACTAGGTCATTTTTAATTTAAAAATAGATATAAATCAATAAATAAAATTTATTTACCAATGGCGCTATAACCTTTTAGATCCGGGTCTCAGATTTCTGTATCTGTTCCGTGATTTCTAATAAACAAGTAGGTGCTTTATCTTCTGTGCCACATATGCCGTCGTCTTTTTGGGTCTAATACCAACCCACGACCCCAGGGATAATAGTCGCTCGTTGAACTTGGCCAACACTGATGTACTAAGGATATGAAGAATGGTGCTCCGTTTTATGCTATTAATATAAATTTAATATAATTTTAGGGTCTTCGTCGTGGAAATCCTCTCCATCTGTGTCCAGAGCGGTATGAGAGCCTGAGAATGATGTGGCTGAGTCACGGCATACACGAGAGAATCACACGGGGTGAGATTATTATTTCAATATTAACATACACAATATTGACATAGTCACACGGTATAATTGTGTTTAAAATATTGAAAAAAATTCGCCCGTGTACAGCCGGTAAAGGCCGCTATTGATATTTATGTAACAACACTTGTAAATAATAATAATTATAAATTTCAATCATTTTCAAACATTACAAAAGTAGAATATACAGCTTAGATTTGTTAAAAAAAATTCTCTTGTTATCCTAATATCAAAGCTTCCTTCAGTAGAATCGGAACCCTTTCACGAGTAAAGCCCTACAACTTTATCCTAATATCTTTGTGTATGAAAGATATTTCATTCTCTATTCGCTTCCTGCTAACAATTTCTTCTACCCACCTTTATTTGGGGCGCCCTATTCTTCTTCTTCCCCTTTGTCCTTTCCATATAGTTCTCTTTATAGTCCACCTTATTTGTGCATCTTGCTATAAACCCCGCCACCACTTCTATTTTGGAACATGAAAGACATCAATCACTTTTGTTTTTTGTCTTATTTGTTCGCTTTTAATTTTATGTATTCTTATTTCAGAACGCTTATTTCCATTGCTTTCTGGCATGCTAAAAGTTTAAAAAAAATATATAAATCGGAGAATAATGATACAACGATCTATTAAATAAACTTAAAAGGCTTTCTAAAAACTCTTTCTATCGATTTAGAACACATTTAAATCTGATATATAAAATTCTCGCGTCACAATGTTCGTTCCCATACTCCGAAACGGCTCGACCGATTTTTTATGCATATTCAATAAGTCTGACAATCGGATCCTTAAGTGATAAGTGGTGTCCACACTAAAAAAAATGTTTTTTATTTTATACAAAATTTTTATTTTTTATGATACAGCATACAAAAATACAACCCTAAGTTTTTACACCTCTACGATCAACCCCTATTTTTTATTATCGAGATGGTTTTTTTTTGAACTAAAAAAAAATAAAAAAAAAGGGTGCGTGTACTTATGTACGCGCGTAAGAAGTTATACTTCTTTGGCATTATTAAAAATAGTTTGGCTTTGTTCCACCTCCAGTTTGATGACAACATCTTTTTTTGTATTCAATTTAGTGCACTTACACTGATTCATCAATTGTTTTTTGTCTCTTGTCCTTATATTTGCTAGAGAAAAATTACGTTTTGATTAAACAATGTGGTAATTTTTTTAATCAAAACATTACTCGATAAAAATAATACAAACTGATAGTTAACCTCAATTGTAATCTAAAAAAAAGCACTTAGGAAGGTTGATGAGCACAGTTTTTTCACAAATATTAATTAGTATTGGTTTAAATATTCAATTTAAATCACTTCTGATTATATATAATTCAAAAAGCATTGCTAAATTTCTTTGAAAAAATAATTAAAACTCCTTTATTTGTTTAAAAGGTAAATGACAAATGTCATTATGGTCATTCAAAATTCTTGGCATACGAACTTCACGCATATTCTATTTCTTTTTACTTGTAGATTGTCTTATTCCTATCTCGCTCGCGCACGCTATAATCACACTCCTAATTTTGTGTCCCGGTGCGCGCGCATCGTAAAATTTCACTCTCATAAATTTTTCATAACGCGCCTAAAGAAGTATAACTTCAAAAAGTTTCCCAGAAATACATGGCAAGACAACGTTTGCCCGTTCAGCTAGTTGTATATATATATAATATAAACTTGATTTAACTATTTGATACTAAAACAATTTTTTTACCGGATTGAAGTTATGTATTTACAATTATTTTTCATAATTTTAAATTTAACAAATTAAAATCTCAAGATAAACAATCCGCGAAAATAGAGGACACCGTGAGCCATTTCTGCCAAAACCCTCCATCTTTTAGTCAATATCAACTTCGGGGAAACAAGTATAGATAACACAACTTTTTCTACAGATGTGATACTTTTTGACATTCAACACCTTTGGCTTCAGTCACCGTGACCACGCACGCTGTAAAGCACGCGAAACGTCGGTTAAATTTAAAATTATGAAAATAATTGTTAATACATAACTTTAAACCGGTAAAAAAATTGTTTTATTATCAAATGTGTGAAAGTTATATCAATAAAAGACAATACTATTGACTTAACTATATTTTTCAGGCATCGACACAAACATGATAATGACTAACACCTGGCAGAACATGTGAGGCCAGCCCCGGCGGCGCGTCTTATTCATCCGAAGAACCTTTCCGCGTACCCTCAACTTGTGAGGCGATATATGTTGTATCGTGTTGGACAGTGATTAGTTGTGATATTATGAACTATGAGTGACAAATCTTATGATTAATTCTGTCTGTAATTTCGGTTGTTACTACTACGTAAAATGTCCTTAGAATTAGCCACAGAATAGTATATGCCCGAGTCTAATTAGAAAGTGACAGCTATAGTCGTATTTTTGATTAGACGAAGTCAACTGACGTTTACGGTGTTGTCAGTTTTTAATGAAATAAAAATAGTGTAGTTACATAGTACTAGTACCTAACTTATATCAGAGCATTTTAATACAATTTTGAAATTGAAATAATATTATTTTATAGTATGAAATGATTAACTATTCACACTCATTGTTCATTCATCTGAGTGAACAAGAACTGAACGCAGCACTATTACTTTAAATATGGCAACATTATTTTACAGAGTGACATTAGCTACTGTCAGTTGGCTTCGTCTAATTAAAAATACGACTATAGGTTCGATTATTTCTTCCGGCGTATATTATTTGTTAAATGGAGTGTTTAGGCTTAGAAAGATTTTAGGTATAACATGACTGGTTATATCTTGTTGCTATATCCTATTTTGTGTGTATTTACATTTATTTAGTCTTAATAAAAATTTAGAAAAATTGTGCAATTTTTTTTCTGATGTATTTGTTAATTTCTTAAAATAATTAGAAATCTCTTGGAATATATGATACTATTTTACATGTGAATTTAAAATGGAGATGTCCTAAAGTTGTAAAACTTATGCAAACAAAACAAATATAATTCAAATAAGTTAAAAATAATCTTGCTGTATTAGTCTCTACGCTTGAAGTACCTATCTTTTGGCAAATCGCTAATCATGATGACTTTGTGCCAAAAGAAAGTTGTGTTTAATAGACGTTTTTAATTTAATACAGAACAGAGTATTTGGACATCAGATATTTAAATGAATTTTAGATATTTCAAATTACTTAGATACTTGTTTTGCAGATTTAGAGGCCTTTGTGGTTAGCAACTATTTTCTTTGTTAATCTTATTGGTATTTAAAATAAAAGCTTTATTTAATATATGGTTGTTTTTCTCTATTTACCTGCTTGCCACTTCCTCAAATTAATGTATAAGACACATTATGCACACGAAGATATTTCTAAGTCGAAATAATTAAATTTATTATACATACAATTTTAATTCAACTACTAAACTAAAAAAAATATTTTGGTCTAGGTTTTGTAAGAGAAAGCTATTTTCTCTTCTAAGGTATATTCGTCTGATTTTAAATGATATTTGATTAATTTTTCATTATCGTTTAAAGCCTAAACCTAACAATCAATTATATAGTATTTAAAATTTTCTGAACCTACCCTTATTACCAAATAATTAAAAACGAATAAAAAGAAAATTAAAACAAATTTTAAAAGTCCATGGTCCCTGTAGCAGTGTATCTTTAACGCTGGCAACATTTCCTCGCTGTATTGCGATACTCATTCGTTGGGCGAGGAAAGCATCAGCTCTGGTGTCACCGTTACAATCCAACTTAAATCTCTAATTACCGCCTGTGCACTTGAACCCCACGGCCCAATATGCGCGGTCTGCTATTGAAGTGTGACCTAATAAGTTCACCAGGATCACCTCAGCTCCTTTGAATGTTGACGCTAGAAGGCAAACTGAAGCTGGGTTGAATGCGTTTATCAATTATTTTTAATATTTGCACATACAGTAGCTGCGTACTAAGAAAATAGTTTAACAAAGTCCAGTTCCATACAGACATAACATAAAAAAATGAATCTATGACAATTTACAGTAAAAATAATCTAATTAAATAAGTATTCATGCATGTAACACATGAAAAAATTATGTATGACCCCGACGTGATTTGAACACGCAACCTTCTGATCTGGAGTCAGACGCGCTACCGTTGCGCCACGGAGTCTCTTCTTGTAATCATGGAAAAGTGTATTTGTGTCTGCCTTTTGATAAAGTCAGTCCGAAACCTATCTACACTAATAGATTTATTCTTTTTTTTTTAAAGGCGATGCGAGTGCTGAGTCTGATGGCTTGCATAGAATATTAGTTCTCTAATATAGTCAGAAAATAATGCCGTAGGGACTTTATTTTATTTCTAATCCAGTAACAAAGTAAAAAAGAAAAGATCGCTTACTAGCGATAAGGTCGCCCGTTGCACCATGTTTCTTCTTTTTTTTAGTTTATTGTTAATAATATTATTTCATCATAATTGTGCAGAAAGTGTTAATAAAAGTGACTTGAATACAGCCAGTTATCTATATTGTTATCGCACCCTCGGTAATACCAATTAAAGTATTATTAATAAAAAGTAAATTACTAATGCATAATTTGAAGCGTTTAAATATTTTGATTTATCCACTCGGTTATCTTTTTGGAATAAGATTTACACATTTGTTGTTTGATAATGCCACTATAGGAAGCTATGAAAATTTATTTATATTTTAGATTGATTAAAAAAAATTAAGTTGTAGTACAAAAAATATGACAAACATTATGTAATATACGAAATCTGTCAGAAATAATTCCTTGTACCGATATAAGACTACGATTTTATCTCGTGTTAATGGAAAGTTTGCTAAGTCAGACTATAGATATATTTTTGTTAACATATCCAGATAGATTAGATACTCACTCTTCTTCTTCTGATACTTCATAATCTAATCAATATACAGATTTTACTCCACAACGAATATATATGTAATGCATTTTTTAATTCGAAATATCATTAACATACAATGTCCGACCTTAGTAAATTTAAAAATACTCTACAGGTTTGGAAAAATTCTTGAGTTTAATGGTAATGAAATAATACTTTGATTATTATAAATTGTTAAAATAAAAACAAAAGTTTCAAATGCAAAATTTTCGTTATAATATTAGAAATGAACTTTATTTGTAGAACTTTAGTGTCTCACAAATTCCCTATACACAACATTTGACGTAGTTTTGTTTTGCGGCAGAAAAATAATTTGATGTTATGGAGTTCCGACTCGGAATATGCCAACACACAGGCCCATGGGTAATTCTTTACGTAGGTCAATCAATGTCAAAGTTAAAATCATTTATCCCTTAAGGTAACACAATGTACACATATGATGGTCAAAAAGAAATACATATTAAATGCTTCTAATTTTACATTTACTGGTAGTTCTCAAATCAAGGGCGTAGAACGGACGGGAAGAACTGGCAATAAATTATAAACTCTCCGCCACCCTTATAAATCGCCAAGTTTTTTGTTTTACACAATGTAGGTACTTTGTAAGGAGCTACAATCCCTACTAAATTGAAAGTTTGGCCATGGGACAAAGAAAATTTTTACCGGAAATTGAATTCTTTTAAAAGGTATGGATAGGTATATCCGTGGGTTTCATTGGTATCCTTGGAATATGAGCTAACTCACCAGTCGTAGGCCTATTTATAATAGTCGCTACAATTAGGTTGTCTTTCGGTTCTTTGACGAATAGTCTCGTTCCGATACACATTACACACACAAAATAATTTCACCCTGTTGTTGTCTACGCTATCTATTATAGTGTCAAAAGCTTTTTTGAAGTTATACTTCTTTAGGCGCGTTATGAAAAATTGATGAGAGTGAAATAAGAAATTTTACGATGCGCGCGCACCGTGACACAAAATTAACAGAATAAAGTTGCCCACGGAAGATGCTATGGCATTGGACATAATTTAAAAACAACATTCGAATAATAATAGAATTTATGTTACACTTAATGTAAGATAATAATTATAAATATTTATTTATTTAATTTTTCAAATGTAAACTGAACTTTATTGACTATAATGAGTCTTTTTCCAGTCTTTGATTATTTAATTGTAATTAATTATTTGCATGCAATCAAAAACTATTTTTAATAATGCCAAAGAAGTATAACTTCTTACGCGCGTACCTACATAAGTACACGCACCCTTTTTTTTGACCAAGGACTAAATTTGAGATATAGTTATTGACAAATACTGTTAATTCACGGTATTAAACCTTCATTATAAATGTCTTCACTAAAACCTAAACTAAAATCTTAGTTTTCCTGTCCGATTTTATGACTTATATCTTCACATAATTGATGTTTAAAATTATCCCACAACTTCAATAATTCCGATGGGTGACAAAATAAAAGAATTTACAAACAGCTCCCTTAGATTTTTGGACACTTTGTAAGCGAACCTTCCCTTAGGGCATAGTCATCATTTTCAAGTAAACTTAAATCACGGCAAGCTGCCTGAAACGTCTCCTTGACAATATCATTAAGATTTTTTTTTATAGAACAGGGGGCAAACGGGCAGGAGGCTCACCTCATGTTCAGTGATACCGCCGCCCATGGACACTCTTAATGTCAGAGCGCTGGCGAGTGCGTTGCCGGCCTTTTAAGATGGTACTCTAAGTCAAATTGGTTCGGAAATACTTCAGTGGGCAGCTGGTTCCACAAAGTGGTGGTGCTGCCACGCCCCTTAAAACTGCCTTGAAAACCGCTCAGTTGTGGAACGGCGGACGTCGAGGGGGGATACGGGTGGAATTTCGTATTGTGCCTTGACGTCCGATGATGAAACTGCTTTAGATATTCGAATTAGGTCGGACCGCGTAGGTGATGTAGCAGAATTCGGAGATAAAAACTCTCCGCTTGAGACGGATGTACCCCGTAAACTCTACCTAAAGCAGCATCTCTTTTTACCCCCAGACCATCTAAATTCTCACCACGACTCCTAGTGAATTTATTATTAGCCCAAGTATAGTATTGCGGGACTTCTTGGTAAAGCAGAGTTCTGGCGAATTCACCTACAATACACATTACTACTACTACTTTTTGTCTACTTTTTGAGCTGTACCTGATGTAAAATAGACCCTCTGACCATTTTCTAGATGTACGATTAAATGCACTCCACTAGGATACCGGTCCCTTAAGCTTGGAACTTAAATAAAAATCAATTGTATAAAATATATCCTTTAATTTCAATTTATAATTTAAATAAGAAAAGATGAAATATATGAATTATTGAAAAAATAGTTGACCAATTAATCTTATAGGTCTAAATGTAAATTATTTTCTAGATTCTACAATATATTAATAGATATATCAATCTTTAAACAAAACTTATTTAATTTATTTACATTTGTTTAATAAAAGAATAATAACAAATTCACATTTACATATTTAAGTTACCTTTACTGTAATAGTGATATTTATAAAGTAAATTAACCTACTTTTTAAAAATTGCACATGTTTTGTCTCATCCTAAACCCAATGGTGGTTAACCCAAGTAGTATTTTGTAAGTATTAAATAAACAAGAACGGGATGATAGCACTGCTGCTTTAGACGAATTCTTTGGGGCAGTTGTGACCCTAATAAAATGTTTATTATCAATCTTATAACTAAAATATAAAAAGAGATCAAAAATATTATTTTCTAAAGTGTGTCTAAACGCTTAAACAATTAAAATATAGCATCTATAAAGATTTTGTATTGGTCTTATTTTATTCTAAAAATATTTTTCAATGACATTTTATCATGTGTGAGACACTATTATCTTACTTTGGTGGTTACACAAAAATATTTTTTTTATTTAATACTGCGATAAAATTCCATTGAAGATTATCGTAAATACAATTGGCGGCAATAATATAAAAACATATATTAGACAAATTTCTTTGTTATATTTAAATAAACTCTAAAGCACTGGTTCCTCGCAAATCATTGATACTAAATTTTTACAAATAAATATGGAATTACTTAAAAATATAACAACACAGAAATGCTAACAATACTTTAAACTTACTAATATTTGCAAAGAGCTGCCTTTATTTTCATTTTGGCATTGGAATTATTCCATCATCCACTCTATAAATACTTATACTATACAAGAATTATATACCAATTTGGCACAATAATATTTATTGTTTATTATTAACTCACTTAAATCTCTAGCCTATGAAAATACTAAAAAAATATACAAATAATCTCTGTCAATTATAAAAACTATTTTAAAACCGTTTCTATGACTCTTCTAAAGACATGTGGCAAGACTATTCTATAACATTTGGCAATTTTAAATTTACAGGAGTTCAACCGTAAAAACATCATTATCAAAATGTGTTATTACAGTACATTAATACATTATAGATTAATACTGCCATCAAACCAGTTATTACAGTAATAAAACATTAATAGTACCTTCAAAACATTGACTTTCACTCACTAGCTACATAAACATGTATCATTTCGCATTGGACGCTTTTGTCTTGATAGAGTCACTCTACGAGGACCCAGCTCACCCTGAAATTTGATTTTTCCTTAATAATCATGTATTCCGTTTTTGTCCTGTCATTATACTTAAAATGTAAATGTTTAAAATTACATCAATTCTTATATTTAAAAAAAAATGAAGTTTATACACATGTTTTGTATAATATTTTGCTAATGACGTAATAATGTGACAAGAAAAACTTACCTCTACACTAATTACTCGCAGTGGCTGCTTTGAGTATAATTTGTGTGCTAATGTCATAAATATTGACTCTACATTATCACACTCAGAGTCCAATAGTGCTGATGTCTCGAAAAGCTGTAACGTAATATATTATTGAAATGTACAAAATTGCTGTTTTGTGTATCTTTAGTATTTAAACCTGGAAATATTTTAAATCAGAAAAATTCAGATAAACTCCCGCAAGGCTTCTAAGGCTCTCTCTTCTAAGGCTTTGCCATCATGGTTTAGTGGTTATCTTGTTTAATTAACTGCACATCATAAACCCTACATGAAATTTCTCTAGGGTTCACACAACTAGACAATAAGTGTTATGGTCCAGTGCCATTGGATAACACACATACATGTGCACTATTACTTGTCCAGTATGTAGAAGATAATTGCTATAGTCTTAATAGAGCTACAGTAATTAATTAATTTAGAGAGTAACTTTACTAAGAACAAAACATAACAGAATGAGTAAATTAAGTAGAGGATACATTCAAATAAGTTAAGTTATTAAAGAGGATAATGTAGTTTACATATGTTTATTCTAGGGACATTTTTTTATCATAATGAATCCATAATAATACTAACAGGCATCCCATATTTATCAGCTAACCGCTGAGCATATGTGGTGGCAAGCCGTGATTCTGGAGTACCACAGTCACACTTGTTACCAACCAGGACTCGAGGAGCACCCATCAAGCCATGGGATTCTATCTCTTGCATCCAACTTGCTATTGACTGAAATATCAGGCACAACTCAAACATTAATTAAATCATCTATTAATGTGAATTTTATGTATTATAAATATTTTTAGTGGTTAATAACAACTTTTTTAACTAAATCAATATTCATTAAAAAACATAAAATACATACATGAAATGTTTCTGGTTTTGTGATATCATAAACAATAACAACTGCATGAACATTTCTATAATAATGTTGCACCATTGATTTACGAAAACGTTCTTGACCAGCTGTATCCCATAATTGTAGCTGAAATTTATTATACTAGTGATAAGATGTGTATCTTAACTATGTACAGTTAATAAATGCAAAATATTGCAGAATACATTATATTATGTAGTATATGCAGTGTATTTATTGTATGACACTTTTAAGTTGGTGGTCTAGCAGTAGGCTAATGGGATAAGATTCTGATTATATACCAGGAAAATTCGAGAAGAGAGTGAGAAACTGACAGCAAGACTAATAGATAAAACAAGTTCAGTTTCAATATACCTTAATATCTTCATTTCGTATCTTTATTGTTCTTTCTCTAAAATCTACGCCAATAGTTGCCTCTGATTTATCTAAAAACTGTCCTTCACAAAAGCGAAAAGTTAAACATGTTTTTCCGACTCCAGAATCACCCAATACAATAATTTTAAACACTTTTTTCTGTTTTAACCCAGGTACAGACTCATTAGCAGAAGAAGACATGGTCTGAACTGCAAATCACTATATAAAATTACTGAATTTTAGTAAAACCTGAACGTTATAAAAGCTTTATAGAACTATGTGCAAACTGCAATAATTGTAATTATGTAAATATTTTTGCACTGGTTTAAGGTTTTTGCTTTTGACTTCTGACATGGGTATTTTGACATATACCAATTATATACCGTCGCGATTTTTTCAGCATCTTCAATAATCATCTATTTTTTTATTTATCTATTAGTCTATTAGTTACCATTACAAACAAAGCTTTACTAATTCGAGGCTAAGAGAATTTTTCATAAGTATGTTTCATAGCTATTTGTTAACAAACATGTAAATCATATATGAATACATCCTATTATAGTCTGTGTGAGGATGATGACATATATCACCTTAACAATAAATGATAGGGTGGCGTCTGACATATTTTGACAACTTCTTCTCAAAAGAAGTCTGTCGTTCAGTAGAATGAGTACATTACGTTTGGCATTTAATTCCAAGATTTTTCGCGAAATACTAAGAAAGTCCTGTTGAAAGGACTTCCTATTCTTATTATTTGTTCCTTTTGTAATAATTAAAAAAGTAATCAGTGTAAAAAACTTGTTAAAAAATTTAATCCTTCCGATCGCATTAAACGAGTGTTTGAGGTGTTTATATTCCTAAAAGTTCATGGTTTGTTACGTGTTGTGGGTGTGTTCACATCAGTTTTAATTAATTATGTTGTGAAAAAATTAGCAATGTGTTTCGTTTTGTGTAATGAAATAATATCTAAGTGTATTTGTGGTGTTTCACGGATGATGCGGTAGACTTGCCATGTCTAGGCTCGTCGACTATTTCGTGATTGTGGGCTTCGACCACGAAAAAGAAAGTAAGAACAAGTATTTTGCTCATATTGTTTCCTAAAACCCGTATATACGTAATAATATATATTATATTTTACTTACTGTGTCAAGCTGAAGTGATTACCCTCAATGCCTCAATGTATATTTAAGTGATTTGTTCGGTTAGTTTTCGGAAATAGACCTGACATTCTGATATTTAATTGAATAAGATACGAAGGCCCCAAATCAAGCGAGAATGATTTTTCGGGAAAGAAATATCTTAACTTAGTTATAAAATCTATATTAAGTATAGCATCCTCTTTATTTATTGACAGCTTAATAACAAGAAAATTGGGCTGTTGTTGACATGTTACTTACTCAAAAAAAATATTTTGAGATTGGGGTACCATTTGTAAATAATTATGTTTGAATTTGAAAATTGTATACTATTGCAAATAAATACTAGTTTGATAAAATAAAATCATTATAAGATATCCCTATGCGTAGACAAATAAAATGTCTTATCAATTTGTTTCTAGAACAGTATGTATTGTATTGAACTAACAAATACAGCCTTGGGCTTGGTAGATGCAGTGATATGATACAATTGATTTGATTTCATTGTCCATTTGCATGTACATTGCATAGTTATTTTGAATACCTCTATTCCTATTATTATTTATAGTCTAGTTGCTTTAATAAAACTTGATGTTTTAAATAGTTTAAATTTGGGGTAAGTAATTGTTAAAAAAAAATCCTCTATAATTTTTGCACAGTAAGCTAGAAATCATCTCTAATATTCATCACAGTCATAAACACATTCTGCACTAGGATCTTAATCACTCTTTTATTATTAAATAGGTATAGAAAGTTTTGACAAAGTTATTTCTTTTCAATTGCTTCTGTTGTTCAATGGTCAAACTCAAGGTTAAGTTGAATTATTTAATCTGTTTGAGCTGTCATTACTGATTTAAGTAGGCAGGTGGCTGTATGGACTAAAGTCCTTTGCGTTTCCTATTAGGAATAAATTAATATCATCATCATTGTAAAACACTGTCTCCTATTTTTTTTCATAATTTTATTCAACACTTTCTATTAAAACAATTTGTTACCACATTATTACTTTATTACAATGTTGCTAACATTATCTACAGGAATAAATAATATTATGTGACATCAACTAGGATTTAGATTTGTAACTTTTTAAGGTATATATTATATAGTTGAATAGGTTATAATTACTATTTGTAAAATCAAGTGTAAAATTATTATTATTATTTTTTATTTCATACGGACGGAGATTTGCCAGAAAAAAATACTGTACTCTGTATTAAAACAGACTTGCGTTTTTTTTATTTGCATGCTAAACTATACTTGGAATAGTTGGCAAGTTTAAAAAAAAATTCTAAGAAGATACACATGCTAATTTTACGATATCTTATTCGCGTTCACGCTTATTTGTTGATCGGAGAAATTGTATGTCTGATAAGAGAGGTAATATTTAAGTTTTTACAAGAAACTCAAGGGTTGAGGTCGAATCAACAGAAATGGAAGGAGCGGTTATTATCAATACATTATACACTGTGTATACTTGGAATAGTTGGCAAGTTTTAAAAAAAATTCTAAGAAGATACACATGCTAATTTTACGATATCTTATTCGCGTTCACGCTTATTTGTTGATCGGAGAAATTGTATGTCTGATAAGAGAGGTAATATTTAAGTTTTTACAAGAAACTCAAGGGTTGAGGTCGAATCAACAGAAATGGAAGGAGCGGTTATTATCAATACATTATACACTGTGTTTACTTTTTTGATATCTCATCATTCATATCTGAGTTGTTTGTGACCGGCGAGACAAACAGACAAACATTTAGAGTGATGAATCATCTGTGTTTACGTGTGAGTAACCTCTAAGGTCAGGGATAGTGTTTTCTCGTGTGAATTGATTTATATCACGTCTTATGCAATATTGCGACACCTTTGCTTTATAGTAGTACAGCTCTTTCATTTGTTTTCCCTCGTTAGAGAACAAAAGAGGTAGTAAATCGTTTTACAAAATAGCATTTCGATGAGGAACGAAGTAAAGCACCGGTGTTCTGAAACTCCCAATAGTGATCACAACGCTTTTGTATGCAATTCAGGTTTAGTACTCTCAATATCCGTTGCGCTCGTATATGTATAGAGACATATCACATCTTATTTAAAATAGAGTAATGGACAGATTTTTCTTTGCTCAGTAAGGGCTGAAAAGAATTGCTCATCTAAAACAACTCGGCTGGACCGATTTTTGAAAAAAATTTACGTGAAAATATACAAAAAAAACCAATGCAACTGATCTCTATAAACAGTTGCTTTATTCGTAACTGGCAAACATTTAATGATCATCCCGTTGATTCCACAAAATCTCTCCTCAAATTAAAGAACGTATTTTTAAATAAAGGTTTAAAATCGACAAGGGATATTTGATTTGAAAAACGTAGAATAATGTCAGTAATGGTTTTGGTTGTCACAGAAATTTATTTTTTGTAAGGAAAATATATCAAGCTACATAAATATAAACCAAATCAAATCGTTCGTACTCTGCATTCAGTCTGCCTAATAAAGAAGTTCACTTAATATTTAGTGGTTGCCTGGAAGAATTCGCTCGAAACCGATAAGGCCGCCAGTTGCCCTCCTATTATGTCAATTGTATTATGTTTCTGCAACGAAGTGTTAATAAATAAATAAAATAACTTTATTTTGTATTCAGCTTATCTGTAACACGACGTTCATTGTTACAAAGTTTGCCAGTTTGTAGTTTTAAAATATTTTAAAATGCATGAATAAAAACCATTTGACAAAACATTATAATAATCTGCGTTTGACAGTGACGAATAAATAAAAAAATGACGCGTAGTATCAAAAAGAATATAGCACTATTGATATCTAATATATAATATATATATTGATCATAGTATCTAAAATCATATCCAAGTAGATTCAGTAGTAGTGTAAAATGTTTTTATACACGCACTTCGATATTCCTAGAAGCTGTGAAAGTGATTTAATAAGGGGGTCAATACTCGTTAACCAGTTACCAATGGCTATTAGCATTTTTACTACCTGTTATATAATTTTTATAAAATAGTACATTTATCCTACTCCTTGAAAATAATAGTATTGACAGAATTCTACTAATTCTTAAAACTTACTCACTGTGTAAGTAATTCTCTCTGGTTCTGCGACCAAAATGTATCTTTTCCTTCGAAACAAAAAAAATCCAGCGCTCTCTATGCGTTTCCTTCCAGCTGCAGCAGATCTTGATGGCTGTGCAGATGATGTTTGTCTCCCACCATTGCGCTTGAGGTGCCGAGACAACTCTAACTTAAATCCCCTTATTCATGAAAACGAATTCAGTCTATAATAACAGTTTAAACAAAATACACGATAGTATTTTACTACAATAAGAACAAAGCATTGGTTTGAAGTAATTATTAGTATACATCAAATGTATGTATGAATAATATTTTTGCGCAGAACTTGGGGCGGTCTAATAATAATAATAATAATAATAATAATAATAATAATAATAATAATAATAATAATAATAAAAGCCTTTATTTCTGTAAAATACTTATCCTAGCACATAAAAATTTGAAGTACTATAAACACTAATAATTAATAGGCAAGCCGGTTTTTCTGTTTGACAGCTTAGGAGGCCTAAGACATAGGCCTCCTCTAAGAGCTTCCATTCTTCTCGGTGTCTAGCTATACGTAGCCATATAGGGCCAGCTGCTCTACTTATATCATCTTTCCATCTTTTTATTTGTCTTCCTCGTATTCTTTTGTCATAGCGTGAAATCCATTCCGTCGCTTTCTTCGTTCATTTATCTTTGTCTTCTCTCATAATGTGTCCTGTCCATGTCAATTTGACGTATACGCCTGGTTTATACTATGTCAATACTTATAGATTTAAATAAAAGAACATTAGAATAAATATAGGAACACAGAGTTTGCTATTAAGTATTTGATTATTGTGCCTAAGCATATTTGCTTTCAAAGATTATTTATAGAGCCAGTTAGATGTATGGTAGCATTTACAACCTGTCAAGGCCATTTAAGAGGTCGGCCGTGATGGCTGAAGTACTGTATGTAGTAAGAGGAAACTATCAAAAGTAAAATAGATAGATAGTATTAAGTTTAAACTGAGTCTCAGGTGGGTAAGATGTGTATCTTATCAAGGCCGTAGACTCGGCCTTCTGTTAGAGTAACTAGCACTGCTATTTGATCGGTATTCGATTACTATTTCAACGCGTAGCTTCAAAATATAAGGAGTTAACGGTTACGTAGGCAATTTAATAAACATAAAGATATGTTCAAAAAATTAATAAATCAGTGGCGCTACAACCTCTTTAGGTCATTTTTCAATCAAATAGGAAAGTAGGTGATCAACGTTCAATGCCTGACACACGCCGTCGACTTTTTGGGTCTGACATGTCGGTTTCCTCATAATGTTTTCCTTCACCGTTCGAGCGAATGTTAAATGCGCACATAGAAATAAAGTCTATTGGTGCACAGCCGGGGATCGAACCTACAACCTCAGAGATGAGAGTCGCACGCCAACACGCCGATGAAGCCACTAGGCCAACACTTCTCGCAAAGATATGTTCGACTTAAATATAAATTTGGCATTTTAAAGCGTAATTAGGGTAATATAGGTTAATCAAACTTATGTTAAATGATTCAAAAGTCCCTTCTATAATAGAATTATTACAGTAGATAAGCGATGGGTCGCTCGATGTCAAAGTTCAATGACCTGATAGCGTAATATGTAGTGCTTAGGTCTCGGATTGTTTTGTGTTATCCAAATGCTACTAATGATCTGTAAGAATTCCATCTTACATTCTATATATATACTATTAATTTAATATTGTAATACATTTTATTGTTTTTGGCTTTGACATGCTGTGCGTTTAAAGGATAAAGTCATACAAAACGGCATAGTTTTTAATTATAATTGTACATTTTTGAGTGACGTGTCGTTCGCGTGATTGGTAAATCGCTTGACGTTGGTATCCCAGATGCGCTAACTTTCTCCCACTCCCTTGTTTAATGCTCAAGAAGTTTGCCGGTATCTGCACTTTCTTTAAACGCAATTTTCAGTAAATTTTGAACCTACCACATACTGAAGTTACTTGCACAAACCTAAACAACATACCTGGAATCGTTTCTTGTATTACGACGTACGGCTTGTATTAAAAAATCGATTCACGCTACAATTTGAAGGTTGTTTTTTAAGTGAGTTCAATAGAATCGCAATTTGTTTGAGTATCATTCAATTTGCTTTGTGAGAAGACTTAAAATGACAAAACCATTACTAGTAAATTAGTGTTAGTGCACGTGCTAAACAGTGAGTGAAAAAATAGAACACATGAACACAGTCTTTCCTTTGTTAGAGACTGTAAGTAGTGTTATTGGACATTTCCTTATGTTAAAAATCCTTTTTAATAAATTAGATTAGACTTAAATTAATTATTAGTCTTAAGTCAGGCTAGATCGTAATGATCCATAATGTCTTAGTGAAGACACACGTATAAAAAAAAATACAATTTGCTTATTTTTCTTGTCACAATATATAGTTAATAAAAATGAATGAATGAATGAATGTTTGGAGAGTGGCCGTTTTTGTTTCATTAAAAATTAATCTCAACAACAAAATTACAGAAGTGGCTTATATTCGATTGAATGTTTTGAATTCGACGGATTCTTTTAACAACACACACACACACATTGCTTATATACATATCACTAATAATTTTTATTTTATTTTTTTTTATTTATTTATAAAAGCTTGCCAACGCTTGGCACACTAAAACATACAGACAGAAGAAAAATAAAATACAGTTTTTAATGTGTCAAGCACTTACAGGCAAACATAGCATACAAGAAACTCGTAATAAAATGAATTAATCAAAACAATAATATAATTTAAACAAACATTAAACGAAAATCGCTCTCAAAGTGTGAGGTGAGCAACTATGGATGTCCAGATCCAGCCCGTTTAATAGAATGCTCAATCTGGACATCGGTGAATTTCGGCCAAAACGCGTTCTCCGGAAAGGAGGGATAAATGGAATGATGGGATGTCTGGGATATCTACTGGGTACACGAAATTTAAATTTTGTTAACAAGTTGGGGCAATCTAGCTGATTGTTAAGTATCTTAATGGCAAACGATACATCATTTATTTTTCGAGATGCCACTGGAGAAAAGCAGATGCCATAGAAATCTTTTTTGTACTTGAACAGAACAAAATACACATTTTCTATTGAATTAGTGTTATGTTGCTGTAATGGTAGAAATAATCTAATGTTGCGTTCAGTTATAAATTTATAAAAGTAATGTATATTTCACCGTAAAATTGTAAACACCGTTAGATTGTAATCTATCTCGCGAGATTGTAAACTGTCGAAAGATTGTGAACCTCAACGATCTGCTTACAATTTAACGTATTATTATTCGGTAGATTGTAATCTATCGAAGTGAAACCGTCAAATTGTGAAACGGATCGCACCTCGCGCGCTGATTGGTTGAACGGAATATGCCCCGCGCCACCATATTTGTTTGATAATTCGTTTGTTGTCGAATGTAAATTGATTGTTTTGATGAATGTAAATAGATGTCGTGTTGAAAGTAACTCACAGCTTTAGAATTAGTTATATGAAATTATTGGGAAGTAAAATTAATCTGTGATTGACCAAAAAAGTTTAAATGATAACTAAGTTAGTGTTGGAAATGAAATGAAAAAATATTTCATAAATTTTTCAAGATAATTTTAAAATTTTATTTATATATGGTGGTGCGGGGCATATTCCGTTCAACCAATCAGCGCGCGAGGTGCGGTCCGTTTCACAATTTGACGGATTCACTTCGATAGATTACAATCTACCGTATAATAATACGTTAAATTGTAAGCAGTACGCTGAGGTTCACAATCTTTCGACAGTTTATAATCTCGCGAGATAGATTACAATCTAACGGTGTTTACAATTTTACGTTAACATATATATGCCATCGAAAACATAACTTGTAAAAAAAGTCGAAGTCTACAGTAAAAAAGTTGTGAGATGCATCTAATACCAAGTCGGTTAATTTATTAAATTCCGGACCGAAATTGCAAAATATATTCGTTTTTTATTGATTTATTCCATAGTAATTGTATTCTAAATTTGAAGCTTCTATGTCTGCAAGAAGTGCCTTTTGCATGACCTTGAACAATTGGTTGTAGCGGGAGGTATTAATATACAGTGTAAACTCTATATATAACAACACTCAAGGGACTGTGCAAATTTTGACATTACAAAAAGATGTCGTTAAATGGAAAGAAGAAAAATCTGTATTTGAAAAAGAAAAAGTTTATTTCAGACTAGTGTTAATTATTACATAAAACACAATTCTTATTTAAACGCTATTGCGTATAGTCTGTTATTGTTATTTTCGCGTGACGTCTTTTGCTGCACCAGAAATTATGTTGTATTTTTTACTTATTTCATTCATTTTGCGATAATGAGACATCTTTGTTATAAAGCACGTTCAAGCAATCCCAATTTGTAAACAAAAAAAACGGATTTCTTACAAAGTTCAGTAAGTAGGATGCCGGAAGTCGAGTTTATTACAAGCTAGGACAATAAAGCGACGAAATAACGTACACAGCTCCGCAGGTTTAACTAATTTCGAACACTTAAAAAGTACTTTTTCTTATTTAATTGTCGTTAGAGGGTGGGTATAATGCTATGTAGAGTCAATCATTGTATGGAACACAAGCTAAACCAATCAAAGCCGAGTGATTTAGACGCTTTAGGGGGTTAAATCGAGGAGCGTTACGTAGAATTTACACTGTATATTATTATTATACTTACACTAGCATTTCAATTGTGATATTCAAGTCATATTGTCCCTACTTACGGAGGACTGACTCGGTCAAGGTCGTCACACGTTTATTCGCTTTTTGACTTAAGTCTTCTCATTAGGGTAACCTTTGAACGTGTAGTTTTGAAACAAAGTAATTGGCTTATTCAAATGCCAATTGAAGAATGTTCTGTCACGTTTATTTCTTTGCAAAGTAACGCGAGTTAGATAGGGACAAAACATGTGAGCTATGACCCTTAAATCAATGGCTTACCAAGTTTTTTTGTCGGCGCCGTTTAAATATGGCGTTAAGGGTCTGTTTCACAATGTACGGATAAGTTCTACATAAGTTCCAAATTAGCTATTTATTACTTATTGATAGGATTAACACTATTGTTTCGTTTCACGACTGTCAGATAGCGCTATCCGTCACATAAAGTCCATCATAAGTTATGAGTACGATGAATGTCAAATAGCACAATTTATCTTCCAAATAATTTATGTGTTGCATAGCTCACAGACCCTAAGGGTCTGTTTCACAATGTATGGATAAAGTACCAAATAGCTATGCAACACATAAAGTATTTGGAAGATAAATTGTGCTATTTGACATTCATCGTACGCATCGCATTTCTCGGTTATCAGTGCATATTTAAATAATTTAGCGTTCCCACATATTATAAAAGAGAAGTCCACGGGATCGTTGTTTATCAGTATGCTCAAAAACTACAACTAATTTCACCAGAAGATATTGTAGGGGAAGTTTGAAGGGGAAAATCCTGCATGATATTTCAAGCGATTAGGATATTTAACAAAATATGAAAGTACCGACTTCAGCGCGACATATTTAATAAGCGCCATAACATAACATACATATATGTATTAATTTTTAGTTGTTAAGTTTTTTGCGACTTAATAAGCAATCGCTAAAATAAATACTTTTGATTTGGTCCAAGATATGTTACTGACATATAAACTATTTCCAGGGGGCGGCCTTAGCAACGGCGTCATCCTCCAACGGTTCCCGGAGATTAATTGGGACGACACACCTTTCCACGACGGCATAGAATGGGTACGCACTTAATTAAGCATGTTCTAGAAAATAACTAATTGGAGCATGACTGATGTCAAGATGCACAGAAAATATAATGGGTTTGGTTTGGTTCAGTTATGGTGTAAGGAAAAGTCTAACCTGTAAAATAAACCTTAATCTATCAGTAGTTAAGTTTCATATGTGTCTCTAAAATTGGCCGATGGCTGACCATGCGTCATACTAGTGAACGGGTGCTACTTGTGGTGACTGGTCGGACTTGAATTCGAGTATGCGGTGATGTTAGTAATTTCGACTATGTATTTGCGTGTTGTTCCCACGAGAATGTAAGTGCGTGCTCCTATTTCACCATGCCCACTGCTGATGAGGACAAATCATTGTTTTTAATTTATTTTATTATTATTAATTACTTAAGATGTCATGTAGATCAAGGTGTAATGGTATGCAGTTTTACAAACATTGTGTAAAACAAAAAACTTGGTGATTAAGAGTTTCGGAGAGTCAATGCCAGTTCTTCTAAAATTAAAGTAAATTGCAGTAAATCTGCTTACGTAGTACTTGAACGGCCCCTTATTAAATTTTAAAAGGCCGGCTACGGACTTGCGAGTATTCTGGCAACGTGAGTGTCGATGGGCTACGGTATCACTAAACATCAGGCGAGCCTCCAGTTATTGTCCCCTGTTATTGCTAATGCGATGGAAGAAAACATTGCGCAGCAAGCGACAAGAATACTTACCTACTGTGTTACCTTTGGAAGAAATTTGACAGCTATTAGTATCAACTAAGTTTATTTTATTACTGTGTTACTTATCGAAGAGAAAAACAAATGAAGAAATTTGACAGCTATTAGTATCAACTAACTTTATTTTATTACTGTGTTACTTATCGAAGAGAAAAACAAATGAAGAAATTTGACAGCTATTAGTATCAACTAACTTTATTTTATTCCAGTTCTGTCAGCCACAAGGATGGGCGCTGTCAACGGAGCGCTCGGAACCGCGCTTCTACGTGTCAGTGTTGACAGATGTCGACGCAAACAGACACTACTGCGCTTGTCTCTGTTTCAACGAGACCGTAGCCATCACACCTACAAAGCCCGCAGACGAGGTTGGTTGTCTCTTATATTATAGGTCACTTGATGTGCTGTAGGAATTCCACTCGACCACGCCTTTTTTTGGTCTATAAGCAAAATATAGTCGTGATAAACAACATTTATCCTTACATACTATGCCAATACGATAATGTCGAGAAACATTTAATAAAATGTAATAAATGACATATATAATATTAACCACAATATAATATACCGAATACCGCTACTATGAATTCACTCTGCGAACATATAAGTATGTGGATAACAGGATAATTTGTTTCCTTATTTCCTATTTTTACAGTAACTTAATACTAATACAATAGAAAACTTAACTAAAAACATAATATAAACAAAACAAGAATACATTAAATCTAAACCTTTTTATAAATAATGCAATTCTTGTGAATACAGCCAGTGTGCAACTAAATACATCCGTCTCACAAGCAATAGTGTTTAGGGTGCGCAAGACACGCGTCAACGGTGCGCGCTGGAGGCACTGCAATTAATTGCGACCGCAGCCCCAGTCTCTCTAACATTTCTGCATTATATATTCTATCTCTAAGGAAAAAATATAATGTGATAGGAAGGTCCCTCCTTACCTCTAACTTGTTGTATCCTACCATACCCAAGACAGACAAAGTTGGATACATAACTGGATAAAATGGGTAAACACCATGCAACCTCATGTAAACCTTAAGGAAATCTTAAGCTTGCATCATCACATTCGTGTTTCATAAACTCCGGCGCAGTATTGGGGAACGGGATATTGGCTAAGCGGAATAACCAATTTTGTATTTACCTACAGAAGGTTGTTTATGTTGCATAAAATCTTTGTAAGTTTTATAAAAATATAATAATTACAGTAAGTAATTGTAACTTTATTTGTTAATATATCTTAGACACATATACAATATTATGTAAGAAATATATACAAGTTAGTGTCCTTAAATTGTTTTACAGATTTTTTTATATGTATGTAAGGGAGCGTTCAAGTATTACGTAACGAATTTTGGAGGGGCGGGGGGTCCTTTTGTAAAACGTTTCGATGCGGGGCGGGGATTAAACTGACTTGAATTGACAACTAAAATAGAAAGAAAACTAATACATACGAAAATGTAAACAGCAATTTATAGTACATTCACAAAAGATTAAACAATTACAACAAAGATTTTAAAATAATTAAACTTTGGTAAAAACAATCGCTGAATGTTCGCTAAATTAATAATGGCGCTACAACCTCTTAGTTCTGGGCCTCAGATCTCTGTATCTATTCCGTGATTATTTCTAATAGGCAAGTAGGTGATCAACTTCCTGTTCTGACACGCCAGCGACTAGTTGTGTCTAAGGCAAGCCGGTTTCCTCACGATGTTTCCCTCACCGAGTTAATGTTGAATGCGCACGTAGAAAGTCCATTGCTGTACCGCCGGGGATCGAACGTACGACCCCAGTGTTGAGAGTAGAACGTTGAATAGGCCAACACTGCTCTGTGTAGAACTGTATTAGTTTAGATCATTCGCGTGATATACAATACATACTATTAAAATGTATCTTTGCTTATACGAAACTAACCCCCTTATGAATTAAAATTAAACTAATTTAACTCTTTTCAACTAAAGTAATCTTTTGTCTCTTTCTTTCGGATTATGCTGTAATAAAAGAGACGGATACTATAATTAGAATATTTTTATGAAAAACGGGTAACCCTATATATATAATATTATCATTCAGTAACGTTCCAGGAATGACTGCGACAAATCTATGTTAATGTCACAACTTCCTCTGATATGCGTTCATTAATGAATGAATGAGGTTTTTAGGGGATTTTTAAGCGCTATAAGACGGCCCATTTTGAATACTAATTCTTACATGTATCAGCATTTATTAAGCTATTGCATAGATTTTATCGCGGGCTTTTAGTGCGGCGACCGAATCAAGAAATTCCGTAACGAAATATACCTAACATACGATGACGTAATACGCGTTAGAGCGGGACAGAACGCATACTGCGTCTCACATCGGTTTAACGTGATCGGATAGGCGTGTTAGTCTGAGTCTGGTAGAGTGGTAGATTGAATATACTGCAAAAAATTAATAAATAATTATATTGCATAAGTTTATAAAAAATGCTATGCAATAGCTTTACCGCGGCAGTCCCCGAGTGTCACACGTATTTTTATGTTTCAGTGGTTAGTAGACACATCTGTTAGAACACTTATACGTTTTAATGGGATACTGTGAATTAATAATAATAATAAAGCCCTTCTTATTTCCATATCCTTAAGTTCTATTTTAAATGATGTTTATTTATTTATTTAGTAATCCGGATAACATAAATAATATTCAACCAAAACAATAAATATACTAAAGATATAGCCAAATATGGAATACATAATGAATATGTCGCAGCCAACTAGCTTAATTAGCCGTTCAATTAACAGTCTAGCCTTTTAACTCAACGGCGCCGTTTAACTAGCGGCCTGAAAGATGTTCAGCCAGTTGATTAAACAGCTAGGCAAATGGCTTGGATCGATGACGTTTCATTACTTGCCTAGCCTGTTGACTGCTATTTTAATGGGATTTATTTTTGCTAAAAGTTCGTAAAATTCTAATGTACCTATAAAATTCTCGTGTCACAATGTTCGTTCCCATACTCCTCCGAAACGGCTCGACCGATTCTTAAGAAATGTTTTATACATATTCAGTAAGTCTGAGAAACGGCTACTATCTATCTTTCCAACCCCTAAGTGATAAGGGGTGTCCACCCCAAAAAAAAAAAGTTTATTTTTTTATTTACTCACTACGATCAACCCTTATTTTTTATTTGTTAATTAAGAACTTATAACTGGAACTCTGACGTTTATATAGAGAAAAGTCACAGAAAAACCTAAAAAGTTTTCATTACGGAAAACCGAACAGTCTCTGCAAAATACAGCATAGCAAAATGTTCCATTTTGGTATGTACTAAAAAGGTAGACTAGGCATTAAGGAGAAAAGAAGTTCGTGAGGGCAGCTAGTATAGTCTAAATATGACTAAGAATAACCGTCGTAGGAGTGGGAATCACATGACGACAGACACGCATCTGGCGTGGATGCATTTCCGTCGGACGCCGGAAGTTGGCTGTCATGTATTCTCAAGGTTAGTGAAGTTGCTGACGTCATTGATATCCTAAGATCCCATTAATACCACACCATAAGATTCATCGTACAATACTTGTTTAAGTGCGGTAGATATACGAATAGACCAAACCTAAAAGGGTTGTAGCGCCACTGATTTTTTATTTTTTTTTAGATATATTAATATGAATCTTACATTGGTTATAGATTTACTCGATTTTAATATCTAAGCCAAATTTGAAACATCGTCCTAATTAACACAAATATCAATATTTTTTTAGAAAAATATAATTTTCGATGTTAAAAATATAATATATTTCTTTATTACATTTCTTATATGTAGAGCAGTGTTGGCCTAGTGGCTTCAGCGTGCGACTCTCATCCCTCAAGTCGTAGGTTCGATTCCCGGCTTGACCAATGGCCTTTCTTTCGTGCGCATTAAACATTTGCTCGAATGGAAAGGAAAACATCGTGAGGAAACCGACATGTCTTAGACCTAGAAAGTCGACGATATGTGTCAAGCACAGGGGGCTGATCAACTACTTGCCTATTAGATTAACAAATGATCATGAAACAGATTCAGAAATCTGAGGCCCAGTCCTAAAGAGGTTGTAGAGCACTGATTTACTTTTACATTCCTTAACAATTTTTTCCTTTTATATGTTAAAAAATACCTTTTTCTGATTTTTTGTTGATCAAAACTGATTTTACTTAACATCATCAGAATTTAGAAAGTCGTACATAACTATATATGTGAATATAAGGTAAAAAGATGAATTTCCTTCCATACCCCAATAAATTATGTCTAAAATAAACAAGATTATCTGTTTACGTCGGGCTTCCGTTCTTCGTCGTAAATCTGTTCACGTGTGGTGTTTGTGAATGAACAGTTGAATGTTCATAGAACCTTGCATGTGATTTAGTTAAAGATTGAATTTATTTAATTATTGTGTCCCCAAACATGATTAACGAATAAATGATATATGTCTATTAGAATTGTGTGAAACAAAAAACTTGGCGATTAAAAAGAGTAGCGGAGAGTTTATTGCCAGTTCTTCTCTTCCGTTCCGCCCTTGATTTGAGAACTGGCAGTAAAATAAGAAGCATTTAATGTATGTCTTTTTTGACGTTCATAAGTGTACACTGTGTTACTAGTTAGTGTTGATTATTTTTCTATACAATTCGGGATTGTCTATTAAAATAGATACGTGGCTTATAATTTTGTTTGTAATTTGTATTGTTGTTATGCTAAAATTGCTAAATGATGTCTGAAGAGTCAGATGAAAGTAGGATTTCGTTTGTTTCAATGTAGAGTAAATTGTATAGTTTGGGATTTAGATGTAAAATGTTCTCTTAATATTAACATTTATTTGTTTATTTTTATTTTCGCAAAATAATCTACCATTACAGATCACTCCAATGCGGCAAATGTTCACATTTATATTACATACAAACAATAGATACGATATCTATTTCTTACAATATAATAACTGACGTGTAGTAGCGTGCAGTAGAAGTAACTGATATTTTGTCACTTCACTCAAATCTAAAAACTTTAGATTTCCGAGACTTAAAGGGAGAAGTTAATGAATTTAATTGTCATTAAAATATTAAAAGTGTCGAAAATTAATACAAATTATAAATTTAATTTTTTAAATTTATTTCTTCGATAATAAAAACACGTGGCAATTTAATTTACAATTCGTCATTTGATATTTCAATAAATTTTATTACATAAAATATAAAATACTAGTATTTCATAAATTCTCTTTACGAAATTTTAATTTTAAAATAGAATTTCTGTAAGGTAACTCGCCCTTCTCACTCTCTCTCAATCGGTCTCAATCGCTCTCTCCTTTATCTTCGACAATAACGCTGCACATTTTCGTGACGCTAATATTTTTATTATTGCGTTTCATCCGTAAAAATTTTACCCTCATGCGCCTAAAGAAGTTTCACTTCCAAACGTCTTTTGATCTATGCAGTGCATTATTTATTTCCATACATTGTGTCCATGTCACTACCTCTCCTAATCAGGCACCCTGAGGCCTAGGCATTGAAGCACCGCCCAATTGTTTTCCTTTCCACCTAACAACTATATAAGATTCGATGTTTCGACAAAATTTGACAATTCACGTAGATTGATATTCTAATATATTATAGCTAATACTAAATGTAAAAGTTAACTAAAAACTTTCAATGATTTTTTGTTATTTTTCCCTGAAATGTTTAATATTCATGAGTTCGTATCACGGAATGTCAGGATAGATGTGTAAGTGGTTGCGTGCAGGGTTGATAACAGGAAAAGTAATTTATTACATGACGAGTTTGATTTAAATCTGCTTAGAATTGTTTGTCGGTTATAATATAACCTAGGTTGGTGAACTATGGTTAAATGCTTATTACGTATAAAGGAGAATGAAAGAAACGAATTTCATTCGCATCACCTTGATGGCTGGAAGTCTTTCACGGTCTTCATTCAAGACATTTTCTTTGTGGAAGATACGCCCTCTAATTGTTTAAAAAAAAGGGTGCGTGTACTTACGTACGCGCGTAAGAAGTTATTTATTATTAAAAATAGTTTTTGATTGCATGCAAATAATTAATTACAATTAAATAATCAAAGGCTGGAAAAGGAGTCATTATAGTCAATAAAGTTCAGTTTACATTTGAAAATATTAAATAAATAAATATTTATTATTATTCTCTTACATTAAGTGTAACATAAATTCTATTATTATTCGAATGTTGTTTTTAAATTATGTCCAATGCCGTAGCATCTTCCGTGGGCAACTTCATTCTGTTAATTTTGTGTCACGGTGCGCGCGCATCGTAAAATTTCACTCTCATCATATTTCATTTCTTGCGCCTAAAGAAGTATAACTTCAAAAAGAGTATACTCCTCCCTCAAATGCCGGCAACGCACCCTCTAAAATGGGTCTCCATGGATGAATGCTTTTTGGGCGTCTCCCGTAGGCTCGTTTACCTATCCAATAAAAAACAAAAGTACAAGGCAAGCAGCAGTAAAGAGTAATTACCGAAAACCTTTAAAAAACTCTTTCAAATATATCTTTAAAACTATGTCAAAATATGTAGGGTATTTGTTGAATGCTTCGGTCCAGCACATAAAATAATATAATTTATACTATATTTTAACTTCAATCTCTAACATAAGTGATACTTGCTTTTGGAGATTAAATATTTGGTGATAAAGAAACTCACAGTCGTCGAGGCAGATTCCCAAATTTCACCCATATCACCTCGATGTCCAACGCACCCGCGAGCTCTCTGACATTGACAGAGACCATGGGCATATCTCTTAACGTCAGATGAGCTTCCTGCCCGTTTGTTCTATAAGAATTTTTTTATATAACAAATTTCGTCAGTCTTATTAAAATAGTTACACCTGGTGACTTGATTGCTGCCTTCCGCTCGATCCTTTCCTGTTATTTTGTTGCGTTCACTTGAGATTAGTTTTATCGTGTTTCCTAGAGCTTTTAGGATCTAATGTTATGAAAACTGGAGCTTTTAAAATTTGTAATTTAGTGATAACCAACTTCAAATATCTGTCTAATGTCATAAATTTTTATAGATACTACTAACTGAACCTAAATTATTAACGAATTATTAGCCTGGGGTACGTAGATGCAACCGTGACCCGTAACCCTTAAAAATATATATCTATATCTTTCTAATGAATCATTTAGTGAAAAGTGTAATCAATTCTGTGTAGTTTTTGAGTTTATCGCGAACATACAGGCGAGACGTGGCGGATGACTGGTTTTTATATTCTGTCCATCTCCCACTATAGGAGTTTTTTGTTGTTTTGTTTTGTTTACTAACCAATACTAACATTTTCTATGTTAATCAAATCAAATCTAAATAATTTATTCATATCGGTAACACAACGTACACTTATGAACTTCAAAAGAAATACATATTAAATGCTTCTAATTTTACATTTACTGCCAGTTCTCAAATAAAGGGCGTAGAACGGAAGACAAGAACTGGCAATAAACTCTCCGTCACTCCTTTTAATCGCCAGGTTTTTTTTTACACAATGTTTGCAAAGCTGCAACCATTACACCATGTTCAACATGACATCTTAAGTAATTAATAATAATAAAATAAATTAAAAACAAAGATTTGTCCTCTATCAGCAGGAGGCATGGTGAAATAGGAGCACGCACTTACATTCTCGTGGGAACAATAGTATAAGTTAATACGGAATTAGTTATTATTATCTTTATATTATGTATAGTTAGACTGTACGTGTGTACGTCACTGAAATCCTCTTAAACGGCTGGACTGATTTGAATGAATATTTTTGAATGCGTTTGGGTGGCGACCTGGATGGTTTATCATCGGCCGATGGCGCTGCAGTCGGTATCTAGGTTAATTATCAGCAAAAATGAGATATGAGTAAAATATTCAATAGACAAAAGGATGACGGTAGAGTGAGTCATGTGCGTATTTTTGCCCTAGTGTTCCCACAATTGTAAAAAGTGTAAACTGTGCTAGTGATGTCATATGTAGATGATATATTGTTTTGTATTTACGATTAGTTTGATTTCAAAATCGTATTTACCTGTTAGGGTTAGGGTTAGGGTAGTAGGACTCCTTTCTCCGCAATTAGACTCGTAAATGGTCCGTTGTGCGTACGAGTCCTGGCTAATTTAGCCAGCCTAGCTCCTTCCAGAAGCAAAGAAGTCTCCTGGGCACTTCACAGGCTTCCCGGAGCGACCTCACCGTTCCGAGGATTTTTTCTCGTTGATTAGCCACAGCCACGCATATTAACCTGTTAATAATCATTTTATTATTTAAAATTAATACTTTAGAGTCTCGGCGAAAACAATATGATTCATTGCTACTCCATGACATCATCTCAAATAAAATTAATTGCAGCTCCCTTCTAGAAAAATTGCCCTTCCTTGCTCCAGCCTACCAGACTCGTAATCGTGCTTTGTTTCGTGTTCCTCACATCAACACCATCTATGCCAAAAACTCAGTTTTGTATCCCGCAGCCCGGACATACAACAAAGCCTTGACTTGTTTAAGCTATCGCGG